ACAGCATTTGAATCGTAGAAGGTGGTAGGAGTATACACTGATCTTGGTGGAGATCAGTCCTGAATGCTAACGGACGCGTCCACAAGATGCGAATAGTGGAGAGCCGCCCAATATTATCCATTGGATAGCTGTGAATATAACACCCCAACTTTAGGAGATACCTTCCTAAAGTTGGGGTGTTAGGCGACCCCGTGCACCTCAGTGTTCAATATGAAGATTTTGGGATCAGTCGTTCGGTTTTAGGCAACTAGAAGTGCAATGAGACTGTAAATAACAGGAAGCTGTTTGCCTCACACTTTAAATGAGGATTTCAACAATTTGTCGCAAATGAAAAATTAATTATTTCGATTCGTAGAGGTTCTAATATTACATATTAAAGTTACCTAAGACATCAAGGCATATTGCCATATATAGACGCATAGTCCACATTACCCGAAGTTACTCTATAATGGCCAATATTGATTGCGGACCTCGCCTAAACCTAAAATTCAGACTAACTTCTGTTGAACCACAGTATAATTTGAACTCTAACGTAGTCTACTTTAGTATATTCCAATCCCACCGCATTTGAATCATAGAAGGTGGTAGGAGAGTACACTGATCTTGGTGGATATCAGACCTGAATGCTAACGGCCGCGTCCACAAGATGCGGATAGTGGAAAGCCGCCAGGAGTTTCCTTTTTGCCTTAACAACAAAAATATTATCCAAACAACAAGCATTTCTAAAAATAGATATAAAAAATATTAGAATTAATATCTACAATTAATTACAAATTGTTATAAACATAAAAAATAAAATTAAATATTAATAACATACCGAGCAACAGAATTAATTGATTATTTGGAAGGAAAGGGTAGAAGGGTGGTAGAAAGCCAACAAACACACACAACAAAATGAAATGGTGGAGGTAGAAGGTGAAAAAAACGAAAAAAATACATTATTAAAATGGTAACAAAAGTAGCATTAAATACTTCAATACGTTTTTTGGGTTTTACTTTCCTAAAGTTATGTACATTTAGAGTTTGTTTTTTTTTAATTTCTATAATAATAATATATAATTATAATAAATATTTTGCTCAATACTCAACCATGAACACATCAGTAGTCGGATAGAGTGAATCAGTTGAAAATTGGCTTGATCGCTATGGTGGGCTTTGTCTTTTCATTTGTTGGATGGTTCATTCGAGAGAACAAAACAAAATGTAGAAGGTGGTCAGGAAGGTGTGAATATAGTATGTACTCGTATTGTTTGCTTGATTTTTTTTTTAATATATTTTATTTCTATAACCCGCTAATGTGTTTCAAATATGTATATAGAGGGTTCGCCTAAAATTGTACTGGAGAGATAAAGAGAAAAGAAAAAAAAAATAAACAAAAACAAAAAAAATGGAAGAAAAACATTAACAACAAAGTTAATATGGTTATTATTTTTTATTGTTGTAGTTAATATGCAACACAAAAACAAATCAATATACATTTACTACGTGTTGGGTTATCCATTGCCTTAACTAGGATTATTATTGTTGGGGGTTATGTGATGGAAACAAAAAAATCGTTTACAAAATAAATATTCTAGACTCTATTTTCAAATGTAATTCGTTTATAATTTCGCAAAACAAATAATTTTTGTTGCCATCACAAAAAAGTACATCTGCCAATTGGTTTTCACCATCTCTGTATACGGCGACTATGATTTAGGTTTAAATTTTATTCGCCGCAGATAATGAAAAAAGCGTGTTACAGTGTTAGTATTACAAATACATCAACAGGCAAGGTGTATTTAACAACTACAAACACATGTGACAAAAAACAAAAATCTAATAATTGGAAAGAAAATCAATTTAATTGTGGCCCTAAGAAAATGTGGTCTATAAAATTTGAAAACAAATCACTAATAAACAAATCTCATTATAGCCAAATAAATTTAAAAATGTGATAACATTAAAAAGAATTGTGAATATTTTAATATAGGGTAGTAGCTGCGGACAGGATGTATGCAAGTTGGAGAAATAAACTTTTATATTATAAGGGTCAATGCTGATTGCGAACTACGCCTAAACCTCAAATTCAGACTAACTTAAGTTGAACCATGTCTTATTTTGAAATGAGAGTTCAAATCGAAATGGATATAGTGCTCTTCGTGATTTTTTCGGTCAATATAATCGGGCCATTGGTTTCAGAGAAGAAAAAAACTATTTTCTCAAAGCATCGAGGAGGAATTGGCCCTCGCAAAAAGCGGTTCTATATAAGGTCTTATGTAGTCAGATTACCGGCTCTACTCTAAATCTAAAAATTTGTAAATTTCAATCCCACCGCACTTGAATATATCTAAGGAGTCTGGAGAGACAGAATGAAAGAAAATTGATCTTGGTGGTGGTAGGAAAGAACACTGATCTCCGTCCTCGGGGATCAAAGCTTAATGCTAACGGACGGGTCCACAAGTTGCGGATAGTGGAGGCATGAACCATGTCTTATTTTGAAATGAGTATTGAGAATTGTATTAAAATCAAAATAGATATGGTGCACTTCGTCATTTTTCGGTCAATATAATCGGCCATTGATTTCAGAAAAAAAATAACTATTTTCTCAAATAAACGAGGAGGAATTGACGCCCCCAAAAAGCGGTTCTACATATAAGGTCTTATGTTGACTACTGGTCAGGTTACCGAATGTACTCTAAAGGAGTCTACTTTTGTAAATTCCAATCCCACCGCATTTGAGGATATCAACGGAGTCTGGTGACCCAATTCAATGTGAATTATACAAGGTGGTAGGAAAGTACACTGATCTTGGTGGAGATCAGACCTGAATGCTAACGGACGCGTCCACAAGATGCGGATAGTGGAAAGCCGCCCAATATTATTCATTGGGTAGCTGTGAATACAAATAAATAGTCGCGGACAATCAGCGGGTTCAGGGGGAGAGTCTCGGAGGAGAAAATGATCCTAGAACTGACGAGGCGATAATGGCACCTCCAAATATCCAATTCTCAGGTATTAAATCACTTCCTTTCTAAGAGGCCTTCCTAAAGCTGGGGTGTTAGACAACCCCGTGCACATCAGTGTTCACGGTATTACAATTAGGATCTCGACTTTATTCGAACGGAGTCTTGTTAATACCTGGGTGTATCAACAAGTTTCTTCAGACTTAGTGGCCAAGTCCTTACCATTGCAAGAGGCTATGTCATGGCTTACCCCCAAGTCCTCAATTCAAAAAACCCTTGTTTATTAAAAAAAAATAAACATGTAATGAAATGATGTTGGCGTGGCTGCATTGGCACAACCTATAGATCACCGGAAGAGCAGCAACATGTTGCATAGAGACCCACGAAGTCGCCAGATGCTCGGCAAACTGCCACGTCGATGGAGGTACCTGCCAAGAACGGTAAATGTGAAGTTAAAACCAAACCCGCCGTCTTGAAGCATGAAGTCTGAAAACGGAAACCAATGCCTAGCGACTCTGCTGCTCAACCAGGTATACGGGAGATCTGGGAGTGACAATCATGGATTGAGCAGACCCTGACGGGTGTATCAGCGAAGATCTCTGGTTGATAGTCGACAGATACTTGAAGAATCTTCTCCTGAAAAACGAAGTTGATAGTCGGAAACTTCGGTAAAGGTGACGTTAAAGCAAAACCCGCCGTCTCGAAGCATGAAGTGATTGTGCGACGAAATAATTACATGATCTAATACAACTTTTGTTGTATTTAAATAATAATGGACTCGAGAGTCTCCCAGACGGACAAACGGCTAAATCGATTCTAAATAGTCTGAAACATATTTTCATTATATGGAAGTGTATAAAAAAACCCCCATGAGGTTGGTATACATTAATTAATGGAATTTTGTATATACAATGTAGCTGTTCTAATTATTTTGAAATTTTTGCAAATATTACGCACACGCACAAATATCCATATAATCAAATTTTTAACCTTTTTTGATAAGGTGTGTAAAGAAGGATAATAAAGAAAATAAAGGATGATTAAGAAGAAAACAAATTACTATTTAAAGGAGGGAAGGGGAAAACAACACAATTTCTTAAATATTATATTTTTTTTTTGTAATATGTGTACATACATATATGTTGCAATAATATCCCATCTAGCTAATTTATAATATAATATATAACTAATGAATGAATGCATTTTATTAGATTATTGAATGGATTATTGATTGTATTGAGATTAGCAAAGTCTATGAAATATTGCAAAGATGTTGGTGGGTGGGTGGTTGGTTGGTTGGATAGATGGGTGTATATGTTGTTGTTGTTTCCATAGAATGACAGAAATAAGAATGCAAATATTTACCATTTCTTTTTGTTTTACGTTTATGCTAACATGTTTTTTTTTCTTTGTAAATTGTATATTACGTATCAATGTATTTTGAAAATGAGCTGAGAAATTCATTCTCTTCTTAATGGTTGTTTTGCATATCTTTCACAAAGCAAATCAGCCTTTGTTTTTTATATATATATTGGTATATGGCCATAGAAAAAAACAAAACAAAAACAATGAAAGGAAAATTATAAATTAAATATAAATATATATAGATGATTTATATATATGTATATAAGAACAACTTTAAATAAGAAGTAGAAATAAAGTATAGATTTTTGTTTAATAACTTGCTTGTTGAAAGATCTGCAGCATACATCTGGCTGGCTTGAGGAGTTTGTTTTTGATGTGCCCATCCATTTGTTAATTCTCGATGTTAAAATCCATTCCAAACTTTTTTGTTTTGTAAGAATTTTTTGTAATTTTTGTTTTCTTACGTTACTATCGTCCAGCACCAAGTTGAGTAAGGAATATATTTACTTTGTTTTTGTGTTTGTATTGCAAATTTTCCAAGTGAATTTTGTATTTGTATAATGCTGCTGCTTCTTCTTCATCTCGTATTGCTAGTGACTTTTTTTCTGTATTAGTTTGTTTTCTTTTTCTAGTTTATTTCACCATCTGTTGTTTTGTGATTAGTTTCTTTGTTGTTGTTTTTTTTTTTAGATGATGATTTAGATTGCTTTTAGTTTTTTTGTTCTATTTGGGATATATGATCGGCATAGGCACGTTAACAATCGGCCCTATACAGAGCTGTCCCTGTGCAGGAACCGATCACCTAAAACGTGGTAACATTTGGAACATAGGATTTCCCGTTGGCAACATTACACCCATACCGGGAGGCATGCCCATTGCTGTTGGCATTCCTGGTACGCCAGGTACTCCCGGTACACCTGGTACACCGGCGGTTACAGGTATTGCTTGTATGAGACCTGCAAAGGAATAAAAAAAAATAAAATCAATTTTAATCGATTTTATTCTAAACATAACGAAATATTGGAAATAGACAATAATATTTTCCAGATATTTATTATATAGAAGAAGCGAGGATTTTTAGAAGAATATTTTTTCAAGGACTAGAAGGTCATTAAAAGTGAATTGGTAGACTCTACACCCCATACAGTATATATATTCAGAATTAAATGAGCCTCCCCCAACGATGAGAAAGGATGCAATACCTAGCGAGGAAGAAGATTCCAACTCCATCTCCACGGCGTGCAGCGATGTCTCGAGACTTCTGAGGCAGCAGACCATTGAAGTAAAGACTGTTGCTAATGACCCTCATGCATCGTTTCGATGGAAGGGTCATCAGAACAAGAAACTATTGTGTAAAAGCAATATGGCTGCTACAATAACAACCCAACGAGTCAATTTATCGGAGAGCAGTAAATTTTTGCGATTAATTGAATGGGACAGAGACTGAATCACTGGCAAGAAATTCTGTCTAATTAAGAGGAATCTTAAATACATTTGGACGTTCTCTCGGAACTATACGAATGACATTGTGAGTGTAATCCCTCTAATGGGGGAGAAAACTGTGAGTTGTCTGAGCAATACCAAGACGATGGTGGCTGGGACTTCTCTTCACTCAGCATCCTCCAAGTCGACCTGAGAAGACTTGGGGTATGTTTTCAATTACGATTTCGGAATTACACACAGATTTTACTAATTCGTTCTATGTAAGGGGCTTGTGCAAAGTTTAGTTCAAATCGGACATTCCATTCGCCTAATATTCTATTTATAAATATTGACCATTTGTGGGAGAAGTATCAGGAGTGCATCAAAGGGTAACATCTTCGGACTTAATCTAGGCTTGGTAAAGGTAAATTATGTCACTTTTTGGAGGAGGTACCAGAAGGAGTGGACCTAGAGGTCCCATGTTCGGACTTATTATAGTCATGGTAAAGGTAGTAGGTTGTGCAAAGTTTAGTTCAAATCGGACATTCCATTCGCCTAATATTCTATTTATTAATATTGTCAAAGGAGTGCACCAAATTTGACCGCTTGGTAAAGGTAACAGGGTAGTACGAAGTTTATTTCAAATCGGACATTCCTTTCGCCTAATATTGGATTTATAAAAATTTACAAATTTCACCATTTGTGGGGGAGGTATCAGAAAAAGTGGACCAATGGGTCCCATCGTCGGACTTAATCTAGGCTGGACAACGATAATAGGTTGTACGAAGTTTAGTTCAAATCGGACATTCCTTTCGCGTAATATTGGATTGGGAGGTACCAAAAGGAGATGACCGACGGGTCCCATCTTAGGACTTAATCTAGGCTTTGTAAAGTTAATAGGTTGAAAAGGTTTGGTTGAAATCATATAGTCCGTTCGCATGATATTATAAAATATTTTTTTAGCACAATTTTGACCATTTAGTTTGGGAAATACCCGAAGGAGTGTACCGATATTCTCCATCTTTAAACATGAACGAAATTTAGAAGAAATATTACGATGTACAAAGTTTGATTGAATGAAAGATGGAGTATAAAACCAATATTTTGATTTAGAACATCATCAAGGACATTGAATTCAAAATTATTTTTTTTTTTCAATTTTCAAAATAGGAAAATTCGATTATTTGTTTACCCACCGGAGATCCCATCTTTAAACTCTTTGAACTAAGTTTAGAAGAAATATTACGACGCACAAAGTTTTATTGATAACGACAGACGGACATTTGTAAATCGAAATTGAGCGTGTACTTCAAAAGGATATTTTTTGAAAAACTAGAAGAATTTTAGATTTTAAGCGATATTTTTTAAGCATTTTTATAGGAGATTTTTCAAGGACCTGAAGAGCATTTTTTCTTTTTCCAAGGCCATTAAAAGTGAAATTTTTTAGAACAAACATTTTCAAGGACTAGAAGACTATTATGTCCGGTACCGCAAAGCGTGTTGTATTTCAAGAACTAGAAAACATTTAGGAGATCTTTGCATGTGAATTTCCTAAAGAATAATTGTTTTGCGGAGTTTTATGCCTTTTTAGGGCGAAGGATCATAAATGTTTTTATTAATTTCTCTTTCGATATGAGTTACATAATCGAAGTTACAATGAAAAGGAAAGCCAGAGAGATACGACATTCCCACCATTACGACGCATTTCGCCGTTGGTTAAGCGTTACTTGATATGTTGTATTTATGTCGAATATTGTTTCGAAATTGCATCTACGAATTATATTCAACCGAGTCAATGTTCGGAAATTTGGCATCACACCAGAACATTCCCTTTTCAGAGCAGATTTTTCTTATAGTGACAGACTTTTTCCATAAAGACTGCAATATTTTTTCTTCAATGGTATACAACTGCATTTTGTGCAACCTTAAGAAGGTAAGGAGGTGGATTTGAACAATCAACAGATGCCATGGAAACCAATTACTAAAAATCATCTACGTTGATTCGCAGGATCTAAATTCTATAAATTATAAAAACTAAAATTATTTTGTGTTTTATTTTTTATAACATACCTGCTGGCATTCCCGGCAAACCACCATGGCCACGTAATAGATTACCACCAATTAGAGCTGCATGCGGTCCTGCTATAGCCATTGATGGATGTCTTAACATTGGTTGTACCAATTGCATTTGTCCTGGCATCGGCAGCTGTCATATCATACGATTGTGTTACAAACAACAACATATATAATATTGGCGTATGATTGTACACACAATAATAGAAAGCAAGGTGTTGGCGAGGAGAAATAAAGAAAATGCAAATATATTGATTGGAATTAATAAAAGAAATTTAATAACATATAAATTATCGAATCAAAAATAATAATAGTAATTATTTATAATTTGGTATGCAGCAAAATAGTGAGGAGGAACCCACACACACACACACAAAGAGACACAAGTTGATGATGAGCAACCCATCAAATATTATTTGGTATTATTAATTAATATGTATTGTTTTCATAAGGTATAAGATGTACACAAAATAAAAAATGAAAAAAGAAAATAAAAATTATAATAAATATATATTTTTAATTATAATATTATAAATACTAAAATAAAAAAATTAATATTTTTTATCTTTAGAATGGTACTTGATTTAAATTGTTTTTTTCTGTTTGGTATTTTTTTAATCGGAAAATATGCTATGTATATGAACACGTTTGTTTTTTTATAAAAAAAAAATAAATTTAATTTTAATGAAAATTGAAAAAAATGATTATTTCTTGCAAATGTTTTGTGGGGTATTTGGAGAGGAGGGGCGACGACTTTGTCCATTTACATTACTTTCGACAAAAAAAAATAAAGAAATTTTAGAATATGAAACCCTTTAAAATACAAATATTTTAAAACTAAAAATAAGAACGGCATAGAAACTGAATGGAAGGGAAATTGTATTATTTTAATTTAAATATATTTTCTAAAAAAAATTGGAAATTTTCCTTTAAAAGTATAGAAAAATATTAGCAGTTTATAAACATATGTTTTTTGAAATTTTAAACAACAGAAAACAAAAATAGGAATGAAACTATTACGTATGGAAATGTTGTACTTACAATTCGTCGTTTTACTTAGGTGATGTTTAAAGCGACATATAGTGTTGTAAGAAGAAAGAAATATGGAAGGAAATGGTATTGTGACGGGTGGTGACGCTGGTGGTGTTATTGTAAAATGGTTCATAGATAACAAAAAAATGTATATATTGGTAATTTAAATTATAACGAAATATTGTACTCACGTCAAATTTCTAATTAAACTGTTTTGTCATTTTAGAATTCTGATAATGTATAACAACAACAACAATGATGAATGGTTCAATTATGTTTTAAAATAGTTTTTTTCTTATTATTAAAATAGTAAATGAACAAATTATGTTATATACTAACCGGTTGTAGGACTAAGTCTTTATTTTCATATAAATATGGATATCGGGTTTTATATTTTTACAAGGAAGGCAGTTATGCTGGGATTAAAAAATCGAAAGGACAAGAAATCCATTAAATTTGGACATCTTAAAGGCATTACTCCAAGTAAAGGCATTTCTTAAAGAACACCATTAAGCGTTGATTTTTTAAAGGTATTTTTCCAAGGACTATATAATATTTTGTAAGGACTAGACCACCATTAAGGGTGGATTATTTAAAGGAATTTAATCAACCCATATAGATTCTGAAATCTATGGACAAGCCAAGCCTAAATCAAGTCCGAAAATGGGACCACAAAGAATCAAAAATTTCGATATTTATAAATTCAAGGAAAGAACGAAAGGAATATCCCTCACCCGGGGACAATATTTCATAAACTTGTAAATTTAATTTGAAGCGAATTGAATAACCGATTTCATCAACATTAAATCCGAAACGTATTTGATAAAAACCTATCGTAATATATAAAAGAGCTTAGTGTTAATTAAGTGAGTGAGTGACTGACAGATCATCGTACAGACGAAACGGCTAAAGCTATAAGCTTGAAACTCATAAGGGTACTAAAAGTACTAAATTTAGTTCTAATTATATATATATATATAGCAAAAATCTTGAATTTTATATGGAATACAGGAAGTGATGCTGATGTATGGAAATGGTTTAAGAATTTCGTACTTATGTTTATAAAAAGTACAAAATGGTACTAAATTTGGTACTATTTGCATTTAGTTGAGTGTATAGAGGTGGAATCCTGAAAATCGGATTTAGGACTACTGTTGGACTACAGGATTGAGGTAGCTTTAAGAAATCGTACTGATGTGTACGAAAAGTACTTTATGGTACCAAATTTGTGCCTGTTGGATTTCGGTTCACAGATAAAGCTGGAGTCTTGAAATTGAAAATTAAAATGACTGTTGCAGTGTAGAATTGAGGTAGTTTTGGAAATTCGTACTTATTGATACTAAATTTAGTACAATTTGGATTTTGCTTGAACGAATAGAGCTGTAAGCCTGGAATTTGGAATTCAGATTACTGTTGAAGATTGAGCTACAGAGACATCTTTGGAAATTCGTATTTATGTGTACGAGAAGTACTGAACGGCACTAGATTTGGTACAATTTGGGTGAACTAAACCTAAAATTTTGAATAATGGTTGAGTTTGCAATATAGAATTGAAATATGAAAGCATAGTACTTATGTGTACTAATTGGTACTATATTTGGTACAACTTGATTAAGTGCGAATGGATAAAATTGGACTCCAGAATTTCGGAATTTGGAGTGCAGTATTGAGATATGTCGGTAGTTTTGAAAATTTGTCATTACGTGTACTAAATGGTACTAAATTTGGTACAATTTAGATTAGAGTAAACGAATAGAGATGGAAAACTTAAATTTGGAATACAAATTACAGGATTAAGGTAATATTGGAATTTCGTACTTGTGGATATATGAAGCACTAAATGGTACTAAATAGGGTACAATTTTTTTGTGAGCGGGAATTCTAAAATTTGGAATTAAAATTAAGGATGGAGTGTAGGATTGAGACATGGATGTAGGTATGAAAATGAGTGATTATGTGTACCAAATGGTACTAAGTTAAGTACAATTTAGATTTAAATGAAAATATAGAGATAGAAAATTAGAATACAGGATTGAGACAGTGTTGAAAATTCAAAGTTATTAGTACGAAAGGTACTTAATATGGTACAATTTGGATTTATGTGAACGGATAGGGCTGGGATCCTGAAATTTATGATTAAAATTACTGTTGGTGTGGAATTGAAGAAGTTTTATAAACTTACGTCTACGAAAAGTTATAAGTGGTACTAAATTTGGTACAATTTGGATGTTGGTGAACGGATAGTTCTGGAATCCTTTAAAGTGGACTTAAGGCTATTATTGGAGTGTATGAATGAGGTAGTTTTGGAAATTCGTACTTATGGCACAAAAAAGCACAAAATTTGATAAAATTTGGACTTTGGTGAACTGATAGAATTCGAATCCTGAAAGTTGCAACTTAGGTTACTGTGGGAGTGTAGATTTGATATAGGTTTAGAATATGGATACGAAAAGCACAGAATAGTACCAAATCTGGTACAATGTGGTTTTTGGTGAACAGACAGAGCTGGAATTCTTAAATGTTGACTTACGATTACTATTTGAAAGCAGGATTGAGGTATATTTAGAAATTCGGATTTTGGTAACGGATAGAGCTGGAAACCTAAAATTTGGAATGTGGAAATGACCAACGGAGAATTAGAAAGATGTACCAAAGGGGTTTTTGTACTAAATGGTTCTAAATTTATTGGTGGTGGTATGGAGGTAGTCTTGAAAATGTGTACTTATGTGTTCGAAAATTGTTAAATGGAAGTAAATGTGGAACCTGTACTTATTTGCTAAAATATATAATTCTTATCTATCTGTTATTTCGGAAAATAGCGCTTGTGTGTATGAAAAGTACTAAATCGTAAACTATAGTACAACAAATTTACAGTATTCACGATTTCATATGAAATATTTTTTGTATTCCCTTTCCACATACGAAGTAGCGGACACTTTGCTAGTAAATTATATACAGTGAATAATAAAACCTTTGTGAAATTCCAAAAACTTCCACTGGAACTGACCTATAATGTAATGAAAAAAATATATATTCGAAAATACATACTTTCCAATTCCAAAATATATTACTCGATATCCATATTCATGTTCTAAATAACTAAAATTTTCTACAAGTAAGGATGGGAAAGAGACGCTGTTTGGAAGGTTAAGCTGACTTCGCATGACAGATAATGGGGCGGATAGATAGGAAAAAAATGCGTGATGGGTATAGTAAATGTTTTTTTTTTCTATTTTCGTAAAATAGCAGCGTGATAAACGGAAGAAGATTATTCGGTTGAAAACGTGTGTCTTCTGTAAGCATTTGCAAGTAGTACAAGTACCTTTCAAAACAAAACCAAACCAAAAAAAAAAAATAGAAATCTAAATAATAATTTTTGAAATAACATTATAAAATAGATAAACCAAAAACAGGATTTAATTTGTGAAAAATAAGAAAATAAAATAACAGAAAAAATGCATTTCGATATTACACTAAAACTGCCCCAATATACAAAAATAAATATATATAATAAAGATATGTATAGAGAGAACGTTTAAATAGTAGTGGTATAACTCTAGTAGCAGTTGAAGTAGTAGTTGTTGTTTCTTTTTTTTATTTGTATTATTATGTGATGGTGGTGGTATGGTGTTGTATGCATTAATATTTATTATTTTTTTTCTTTTTGCTTAAGTTTTACATTTTTTACAAAAACATTTAGAAAGTTTATAAGACAATTCAATCCATCAATATATATGTATATGTAATCAATCATTTAAATTATCAGTCAATCAATCAACCAACTCAGCAACCATTACGACAATTCAATATTTATTAAAAGATAAAATTTGAAAATAAGTAGTTTTGCAGTTGTACTTACTTTGAAGGACTAATATGAACACAACAAAACATTGTTATTTTTTTTTTGAGGTTCAGATTTGTTTTGTTTTCTTTCTGAGTATACACTCTTCTTCTTGTGTTAATTTCTTAGTATTATAATTATATGTAGGTTTGTTTGGTTATAAATTAAATTAATTCAAAATTCACTACTAATATGGTAATGGAATTAGTAATCACTTACTGTTTTTGTTTTGAGGGGGAGTGGTAATAATTTCTAGAGTTTTGGCTTAGTACCAACCAAGGTTGTACTAAAAAACAATGTGAGGTTATTTTTGTTTTTTCTCTTGAAGAATGCGATAAATGTCATTTTTAATTTTTTCAAAAGATCGCAAAAGATAGACCAACCTCTGTCATGTGTGATAACAATAATAATAATAATAATGTTTGTGAAGAAACAAATATTTTATAGTAAAAAAACTCACTGTTTCTGCCTATATATCTTCATTCATTCTTTCTCTGTATATCCCTCTCTTCTTTATTGTCTCTCAACTCTGCAAGTTTTACCAATTTGTTATTTATATATATAAAAAAAATAGTGCAAATAAATTTAATTATTTTTTTTAATTACACAATAACATATATATGTTTGTATGTGTATGGAGAGGGGGAAAACTATGTATGTACATAAACATTTATTCATTTTTAAATGGTCTAACTTTTATTTTATTTTTTTTTTTATTCTAAAGAGTTTTCTACTTTTTCTGACTGGGCAGGCCTAGACGCAATGAACTGCTTACTTTGCTGTCGTATATAGTTATGTTGGTAATCAATTCGTGGAATATTCTCTCCATTTCGTTTTGGGAACTCAATTTAAGCACATTGTTTAAGTATTTCTTCTTCAATTGTTAGATAAATATTTGCAGAAAACCCGATTTGATAAAAATGAATGCAAACATTTGTATGTAATAAAATATTGGCTTTAACATGGCGCAGTTCAGGCTTATCTTGGTCCCTCTTTCATCTCAATTGTGGACACTGACCTCCCCGTGGTACCACCTGGGGTAGCTATTTTCATCACTCGATGAAATAGTGAGCTTATATGTGCCACGAAGGCGTCGGGTTAGTTGCCCACACTCGAAAAAACGAACCTACAAAGAAAACGAAAACCAAACCCACCTAACCCATGTTGACTACCCTCGCAATCGTACAAAGGACCACGATCTGCGAATCTGTACTTGAAATGTGCGCACGTTGTACAGAACAGGCGCAGTGCTCGCTTTGGCGGATGTAATCAAGAAGTACAAAGCCGATATTATTGCCTTACAGGAAATGCGATGGAAAGGGACTGACGTAAGTAAATCAGATGATTACGCCCTGTATTATAGCTGCCATGAAGCGAGACGTGAATTTGTCTGCGGATTTATAGTTAACAGGAGAATAAAAGACCTCGTCTCCAGATTCACTACAGTAGATGATCAAATTGCTATAATCCGTATAAAAGCGAAGTTCTTCTACATCAGTCTCATTTGCGGCCATGCTCCAATCGAAGATAAAGACGAGCGCCTAGAAACAGTATATGGCCGTTGCCCTGGCCATGACATAAAAATTCTGGTAGGAGATTTTAATGCAAAAATCGGAAGGGAAAATATCTTTGGCCCCACCGTCGGAAAATTCAGACACCATGAAGAAACATCAGACAACGACATGAGGTTGATTGACTTCGCGGCAGCAAAAAACATGATAGGTAGCAGTACCAGATTCATCTCGATATACACAAGGCCACTTGGATTTCTCCCGATCGAACAACGAGAAATCAAATCGATCATATTGTAATAGACGGAAGGTATTCATCCAGTGTTTTAGAGGTCCGATCGATCCGAGGACGGAGCGATCTAATGTAACACGGAAATTTGACGTCGAAAAGCTGCAAACACAACAGATAGCAGAAGCCTACCCCGCTCAACTTACCCAACTGCTTGACGGAAGCACCCCTTGTCCCGAAAATAATATAGAAGCACAGTGACAGAGAATTGCCCAATCCCTTGGGTACCAAAGACCACCACTGATATGAAAAACGCAGCGTATAGGACAACCCTGCGTACAGTAGCAAAACGTAATGCGATGGAGAACTATCGGGAGAAAAGGAGAGAGGGAAAAACCCACGAAAAACACATCGACACATTTCACCTATTCATCGACTACAAAGACGCATTCGACAGCCCTATCCGTTCAGAGGTGTATAAAGCCATGTCTGCGTTTGGCATTCCTGCAAAATGAATACGGCTATGGAGGATAACTTTAACTGGCACTAGATCAGCAGTTAAAAGTCGGAAAGGACCTGTCGGAGCCCTTTACTACCAAACAACCGTTCTGTAATAAGCCAGCTAAGTAAAGTAAATAAGAAATATTAACTATCCGATTAGATCCAAACTTTGCAAATTGCAATACTTTACCAAACCTAGATAAAGTTCGATGTTGGGAATCATCGTTCGACTCCCTTTGGTACCACTCACAACAGCAATCAAAAGTGATAAATATCACCAAAACGTGGGCCTTTTTGGTATAGCCCACATATAAGGATAACCTTCATGTTCGGTATTTTAAGGAATACCAGAAGACTGTAATTTGGTATGCCAGCACCTTTAAGTGGAAACACCTTCTTTACAGAACATTTTCAATATAAGTCCATGTTTCTACATGAAATGCTCAAGATCATCGCCAAAGTATTAAAAGGCGCTACCGCTAATTTCAAACCTGAGTATTCAAACTAAACTATATATGTCGATGGTCAGGCGGCCCTTAAGGCAGTTATATCGTGTACTATAAATTCAAAAGCAGTTCATGATTGCAAGTCCGCTCTAAATGATATACGACAGATAGTTAGCTTATGTTGGGTTTCAGGACATAATGACATAGAAGGGAACGAGATAGCCGACGAGCTTGCTCGAGGGTGCCCACAATCGTCCAATCTTCCGATTGAGAGATCTGTGCAACCACCCATTGGCTATTTCATTGGCAAAATCTGCTTGTTCTACGGCGAGGTAGTCGGTAACAGATGGTCGAAAGAACCTGGTTGCAGAATCTCAAAAGCTATCTGGCCTGAATTCTCTCTAGACTTTCCTTCTCTCGCTATCTTTTTCTTGCACTTCCACTCTCTTTTCTCTTCTCCTTCTCTTTGCAAGTAAAAGATGATCACAATGGACAATAGTCTCCGAGTGGACGGTTGTTACTAACAACCGTATATAATGTTAATTGGCCCCTAATGCATGTTCACCTCATGGAGGAACGTATAACGAATTCTGCCCGACTGAACTTAACTATAAAGACACACAGCCTTCAGATCGCCTATAAAAGACTTTCATATTTCCTTCAGGAGTCTATTTAGACTCCTTTGAACTCATCTATAGGGATTCTTTTAAGTCGTCTATGTAGACGGCCTTAAACTCTTCTATTAAGCATGCCTAAAAAAAGACTTCCTTCAGCTCGTATCTAAAGACTCCATTCAGTTCGACTATAAAGACCACCTTCATATTGTCTACAAAGGCTCTCTTCAGCTCATCTATAAAGACTCACTTCAACTGGTCAATGAAGACTCCTTTCAGTTCGTCTATAAAGACTCTCTTCATATAAAGACTGAAATGATCGTGTCTTTCAGAACGTTTAAAAAACGCACCATGCCATTAGTTCGTCAATACAGATTCACTAGTTCAGCTCGACTATAAATATCCTTGATTTTAGATAATATATAATTATTGCCATCAACTCATCTATAAAAGGCAGGAAGCTTCAGCTCATTTATAAAATTCTAAAAAAAATCACTTTTTAGCTTATATTGGCTAAAAATGATTTTTATTATATGTTGTAAATATCCAAACAAATAGATTCAACTGTTAGATCGAAAAGTCATTAACTGCAAAATCGGTAACAAATCGGTGTTCAATGCAAATGTCTACGAATATTTTTTAATTTTCAACAAGTCTTCTCTTCTCTATCCCAAATTTTTATTTTTTTTAATTTCGATCGGTTATTAAATGGAGAGATATATTCCATGTTATTAAAACAAACAAACAAAAAACATATTTCGCGTTTTCATATAACCTTTTGCTTTTAGTGACACAACAAACAAAAGGAGAGAAAATCTGTTTCATATCAAAAAAAAAAAGTATATATATTGCATGTAGAGTAGAGACACATGATGTTTGTTTAAACCGAACTTACCATGCCAACTGTTGCAGCTGTGGGTGGACGAACAACAGATGCCGCCGCAACTGATGCGGCTGCCTGGGCCTGGGCCTGTGCCTGCTGTTGGGCCTGTTGTATTCGTTGAATCATAACGGCACGATTGAGATCTTCGAGCTGTTTTTGTTGGTGTTGCTGTTGGGCCTGTTGTATTTGTTGGATCATAACGGCACGATTGAGATCTTCAAGTTGTTTTTGTTGATGCGCCTGTTGGGCGGCCTGGGCTGCTTGGGCATGGGCTACTTGGGCCTGAGTTGCCACGGCAACCATATTGGCAGCCTTGATGGCAAAGTTCAATTCAATTTCGATACGATTAAACAATTTGTTTGTTTGTTGTTGTTGGCCGGCCCGAGATGTGTAAATCGAATCGAATTCGTTTTCGAATTTCAATGACAACAATAACGGTTTCAAATAAACAAAAAAAGACAAGAGAAGAGAAAGAAGATAAAAAAACGTTTAATTATATGCTTTTGTTTTGGAATTTCTATGCAAGAGAATATTACATCATTTTGATTTATTTCAAATTTTTATTTAGTTTATTATTTTTGTTTTCTTTTGTGAATGCGAAAACGAAGTTATCAGTTTTTTTGTTTCTAGTTAGTGATTTATCGATCTAACAGTCTAAAAATGAGTGGGTATTTTTTATTAATTACAAAATGTACACATAGATACAAAAATAAAGTCTTTTAAATTACCAAGGATTTGAGGAGGGGTAACATCATTAAGGTTATGTTACATTTAGATTTTTTCTAAATCCTTTTTTTCCGGTGATGAATATTGCAAACTGTGCAATTTATATTTTCAATATAAAACAAATCACATCAAAAATTTGCAAAATATTGATATGTCCTTATACATTGAAAATAAAAATAATGTACAGTAGTTTCACCTACTACCATCGTTAGCATCTCATCGCGTCATTGCACGCACGTCGTTTACGAAAAAGAAACATAGCTTTTGGTTTAGTTTGTTTAGTACGATTTGACTTTTATTGTTGTTGTTTTCTTTTTTTTTTTTTTTCTATATATTGTTATTGTTGTGGTAATAATTTAAATTTCAAAGTTGTTTATAATTTTTTTTCACAATAAAAATTTGCCTTTTTCGTAAAATATAAAAAATACACACACATATATAGATTTAATTATATAATAACTTGGTTGTTATGTACTTTATAGAAAAAAATTATGATTATTTATATAAAATCTATCTTTCAAAACTGATTTGTGAGAGAAAAAAAGAACAAGAGAAAAATCATCATCATTATCATGGGGCGGTGGTGGTCGGCAAAATTTCAAAACTACAACAATAATATTATTTTTTTTAATTATTAAATTTTTTAATAAATAAAGAACGAGGGGCAAAATCTTATTTGTAACTATTATTTTGAAAATGTTTTAAAGTCCCAATTTAGATTAGGCGTGTTTATTTGCTGCAAGTCTTTGTTTGCAGGAGAGAGGGTCAATTGCAGCAAGTAAAATCGCTTAATCTAAACCAGGACAAAGTCTATCGTTTCTACAGCTGCTGGAAATAATATTTGTTCATTGATGAGTAAACAAAATAAATATTTTGAATGTTTCTTTTTTTGTTAGTTTTTTTAAGTTGTAAATGCTTGTCATTTTTTGTTTTTCTTATTAAGAAATTCTCTATTAGCGTCTCAAAAATTCGTAGTTTTCTTAAAAAAAATAGTAAAAAGGTTTCATGAGAAACCATATTAATCAAAATTTTGCGGAATAGCATATATGTATATTTCTGCTTGGTAAATTTTATTAACCAAATAATTCGAATCCCTTCATTAGAAAATATTACTGGGATTTCAACTCTTCTAGGAAGACTACCTAGTGGTAGTGTATAAATACTCCCTACAGACTCCCGGCTTTAGCTTGTCTATAAAGACTCCCTGTTGCAGCTCGTCTATAAAGACTCCCTGCTGCAGCTCGTCTATAAAGACTCCCTGCTGCAACTCGTCTATAAAGACTCCCTGCTGCAGCTCGTCTATAAAGACTCCCTGCTGCAGCTCGTCTATAAAGACTCCCTGCTGCAGCTCGTCTATAAAGACTCCCTGCTGCAGCTCGTCTATAAAGACTCCCTGCTGCAGCTCGTCTATAAAGACTCCCTGCTGCAGCTCGTCTATAAAGACTCCCTGCTGCAGCTCGTCTATAAAGAAGACTCCCTGCTTCAGCTCGTCTATAAAGACTCCCTGCTGCAGCTCGTCTATAAAGACTCCCTGCTGCAGCTCGTCTATAAAGACTCCCTGCTGCAGCTCGTCTATAAAGACTCCCTTGCAGTTCGTCTATAAAGACTCCCTTGCAGCTCGTCTATAAAGACTCCCCTGCAGCTCGTCTATAAAGACTCCCCTGCAGCTCGTCTATAAAGATTCTTTTGCAGCTCGTCTATAAAGACTCCCTGCTGCAGCTCGTCTATAAAACTCCCTGCTGCAGACTCCCTGCTGCAGCTCGTCTATAAAGACTCCCTGCTGCAGCTCGTCTATAAAGACTCCCTGCTGCAGCTCGTCTATAAAGACTGCTGCAGCTCCTATAAAGACTCCCTGCTGCAGCTCGTCTATAAAGACTCCCTGCTGCAGCTCGTCTATAAAGACTCCCTGCTGCAGCTCGTCTATAAAGAGCAGCTCGTCTATAAAGACTCCCTGCTGCAGCTCGTCTATAAAGACTCCCTGCTGCAGCTCGTCTATAAAGACTCCCTGCTACAGCTCTACATAACTACATATTGAAAATATTAAGGTTATGGTATTATAATCGAAAAACTACGAATTCAAAAATACGCTAATCGTTGTTTTTTTTTTCAGAAAAATTTAATAACACAAATTTAACTTTGTGATGTTAAGAATTAAAAAGAAGAATAATCAATATTTGAAATGTACAATCGTTGACATGTCTTTATATAAATATCCGAATTGAAAAGTTAAATTCTGGCATGAAGTAGGAATATCTATGGATCCACCATTTTACCAATTCTTTTTTCAGGTATTTATTATTATTATTTTTTTTTTTTTTTTTTTTTTTGTAGAAAATGTTGGTTTAAAAAGTATTTTTTTGAAAGACTCAATTTGAGAAAACATGGAACGAGGGACATTTTCTTTGAAATTGATTTTTTAAAAATAAATTTAATTATTTTTTATGATCCGATTGCATTGTTTTAAACGAAAATACATTATTGTGATTTTAGTCTGTTTGAATTTCTATTGCAATCAAATCAAAATATTGTATTTTTGCTGATAACCAACTAATTACAACATGAGGCAATTCTCAGTCAAAAGAGAGTAGATTTTACACTTTCTCTCTCCATCCAATGTTAAACAATGGGAACCCAAAACAATACAAATAAATACCTACTATAGAAAACTATTGTATAATAGTTTGTTTGTATTATTAAAAATATATACACAAAATGTGTGTAAATTATAGAAATTCAAAATTTTTTCTCTCAAATAATGGATCAGTAAATATTCCATACGTCATGTCACACAACAACTCATGTAATTTGTTATGGGGAAAGACAGACAACCACGCACTTTTTTCTTTTTCATATAAAAACGGAATAATCTATATTTTTTTATTTTTTTGACATTTTGCCGATGCGAATGTGGAGGATGGTCAAAAATATATATTTTTTTTTCGAAAAAATAGATAATAAAATCAAAAAGTAAAATATATGTTTCTTTCATAATATTATACGTTGTTGTTGGTTGTTTTTACAACTTGTTCTTGTTTTCGATTTAACTGTTTTTCTTGTTGTTGTTTTTTGTTTGTGTCTTTTCTTTTTTGTTGTTGTATTTTATTGACTATAGTTTTTATATCTATAATAAGAACTCACTTCCTGTGCCTTGGATATGGCCGCTGCTGTTGCGGCTGCCGCAGCGGCTGCATTCGTTGAAGATGTTCCAGCTGAAGAGGTTGTTGTTGTGGTATTATGTGTGCCGCCGCCACCGCTACTGCTGCTATATATGGAGGACGGAGCTGTCGTAAATGACGACGAACTCGATGAGTACATATTAGCACCGCTGCTACTACTACTACTGCTGCTGCTGTTGACATTACCACTATTGTTGTTGCTACCACCACCACCACCAGCATTAGATGTATTTGCTGTTGATGACGATGTCGATGCCGAGGATTTTGATGTGGACACAGCATTGGTATTCTTAAGTCTTTGTATTTTACGTGCCTTTAATTCTTCTAAACTAAGATCCTCAGGTGGATGCATTATTTTCGATGTGACACCACTGGCGTTTGTAACCACCTGCGGTTTTGCTGGTTCTGAGGTTGTTGCCGCCGCTGTTGTTGCTGGTGGTGGTGCTGTAGCATTGGGATTGTTTGTTGTTGGCGGTGCACTTATGGTAGCATTGCTGAAAAAAAAATTAACAGAAAAAATATAGAAATTAGTGTCAATAGTTTATAATTCATATATATGGACCCTATCCTGTCTAGTCTAGTATGAGGAAATTTTATCGAATACCTGTTATAATGGTCCTTTGCAAAAATGTTAATTAAATTTGAATTGGAACAACTCCAGTTTAGTAAAAAACGATTAAATGTATACCGATCAGGTTATATCCGGTTCTACGGATACGATTATGATGATGGTCCCTTGCCAGACTAGCCCTTTTACCCATTCCGACCAACGGTGGGGCTACTTAGCACCAACCGCTTCGATCACCCTTATGGATGACAGTTGGTGTTTTTCATTGCCTTTTGACTAGGGTTAGGCTTCGAGTGAGAAGTCAGCTTCACACATTTGTCATTGGCAGTGGGCTTCGCCGACTCTGCTACTTTGCTCGGTTCAGATCCACCCGGCACATCGTAGAAACCGTCTTCCCATCCGCCACCCGGGAAGACGCACCTAGTGGGAGATTTGGCAACTTCCATAGTTACTAAGGCCCATATCATTTGATCCACAACAGATACAACCACTTATCGAACCATTTTGGAAAGGGCAAATTGTACACTATCAGTATTGGTGAAATGAAATAACCCCTTCATATTACCACTCAATGGAAAGTATTTTCATAAAATTGATATCCATTTTGTATTCATCATTTCAGATGCAGGTACAAACGGGTAGCCGTACCCGAAATTCCGGAAACATTTTCAAAAAAATCTGATCGTTTTTTTATAAACTAAAGTTAGGCCTTCGAAATAATTATAATATGCCTCCTTAGACCTACTTCACCACATGCTTCGACTTATAAAGACACCTAGCACGTCAACATTTGTAAGCAATTCAGCTACAACTCTACTGAGTTCTTCGGAGAGGGAGGACCAATCAAGACAATCATCATCGGCTTCGAAAAAGAGAGCCTTTAGAGCTACTTGTAGTTAAAGAGTTGTAAAGCGATCTGTGACCAGACCAGACTTATTTTAAACTTCCCTTGCAAGAACAAAAAATTATCTGAAAAGAACTGGGTTTTAATAGTTTTGACATTTTTACCATGTGCACTCCTTGGGGACCTGATGTTTTTCTGTTAATTCATATTTGTCTTTGCTTTCATTGTTAATATAAACCCCCCATGCCTTCAGGCATTTATAGAGTCTTTTTGTATCGAATATCATCTTGGTTTATTTGTTGCAATTTTTAATGCCTTATTTTGAGCATGTTGAGCAATTCGCTTAATGATCTGCTATTTTAACAGGCATACATACCCGGTAAGCAGCAACGTCGCCTACTACATTCTTCTCTTTCAATTTGCAAATATTGGTACCGATTATTTAAAAAATAACAATGTCCAGATTGCACCCCAACATATTTCAGCTTTTCCAGCAGAATTCTGTAGTCCATCAGATCGAAGGTCTTAGCTACTCCTGTGCTGCTAGGCAGTATTCAATCCCTTGAAAATGTACTCGATTATGTTAAAAACTGCTTCGTCTGATACGGAGCCCTTTTTAAAATTCAAACTGATTCTCAGATGTAATTTTGTTCTCCTCAAGATATGACGACATTCCCTCGTAAATAATCTTCTCAAATACTTTATCAATAATAATACTGCAACAGGTCTGAATGCATCAATACTCTTCGAGTTAGCTTTCTTAGGTACTGGTATCACTCTATGAATCTTCAAACAATCCAATTCATATTGTTAAATATGCTGGGGTTAATACTTCAGCAACCTCAGAAAATCTCATTAGCAACATCTTTGGTTTGATACCATCTGAACTACAACCTTTAGCACTTCTAATAGACCAAACCAACTTCGCTCAATAACAAGTGTTCCACCAAATGAATTAATATCATCATTTCGATATCGTTAGATGGAATTTCTCAATACATGCACAGAGTCTATGATTTGTCTATTAACTTTACCCGCCTTGTCAGCATCTATAAGAAGGACATTACCATCACCATCAATTATTGCTCCCAAAGGTTTCTTAATTCTTTTCAATCCCTTTTTCAAAAATTGCGAGGCGGATATCCACACTTCCGGAAATATGAGCCTCCGTTCGGACCATTATATTGGTATCAATATAAAGCGTTTGAAATCCTGATTACAATGGGTCTCCACAATTATTCATAAGGACATTGGTTAGAGACTAAATGTATTGTGACACAATGTTTATACAGATGAGATTTTGTTGCGTAGCCGGAGTTGTCATATACAAATACTATTCGACTTAAAAGAAGATTCTGTTGCGTAGCCGAAGTTCCCATATATCCATAGAAGAAAGTCTGAAATTCCCAACCGAAGGTTGTTTATTTGATTTTAAAGAATTTGGAGATTTGGAAAATAATAGCCACCGTCACTTAATGAGAAAATACTGGGATCGAAGCGAATCTTAAGGGGCCATATGTTGAAATACGGATTTCCACAAAAAATTATTAATACCATTGTCTTAAATGGTCTTGTTCACTATCTTCGTTATAAATAAAAATTATCAACGTATCGAAAAGTCTATTCAAAATCCCTGATGAGCCGTTGAACCAACGGCGAAATGCGACCTCTATCATTTATCTCGTAAGAGAAATACAGTCGAAATCATTTATAACGAAGTCGAAATCTTATTAACACTGTCATTTCAATTAGTGGTTTATTTTCCAAGGAAACATAGTAATATCCGCCTTATAAATTTTACCTCTAAAGTGACAACAATCTCCATAAGTAAAATCTAATCATTTCCGAAAACTACAGCCATCGTCTTCTAACATAACCAGAACTTCATGTAAAATTTCATGGCGATCAACGCGAATTACTATACGCGGAATACTATACAATACCATAAACTGCTAGCCACAACAACCAATATAATTTGTACCAATTTAAAGGTCAACCATTCCTCCTAGGTATACTATCAACTTCTGTGGTATATGTCCTACATTAAATACTAAATGCTAATTTTGCTAACTATTCGTTTTGCTTTCTATTTCATTAGCCAAAAGTTTATGGAAATGGTTTGAAGAACAATTTTGATATTTCCTATATATCACAATAACAAAACATACCTGTATGCAGGGAACGTTGGTTTCTGCTGTGCGGCCGCAAATTGACTTGCGGCATGAGCCGCAGCTGATGTTGTAGCTGCCATTGCGGCGGGAAATAGAGGTCGTGGCGGCATCATATGAGGCGGTACCATAGGTATTCCACCTGGACCCATAAATGGCGGCATTGCCGTCATATGTGGCATCATACCATATTGAGCGTACTGATTCATTAAATGTGGAGGCATCATATTTGGCGGCATCATCATGGGCGGTGCAGCAGCAATGGGATCTGTTCAAAACAAAAAATTGAACAATGGGATTATTTGTGAAAAAATGTCTACTCATCGAAAAACTTACATTCAACTTTCTTTTTCGCCGCCGGTTCATCATCATCGGAATCCGACTTGCCACCATTCTTTTGTCGTTCATGCTCGCGTAAATCTTCCGGCGGTATACCATCCATGCCGAAAATTTCTATTTCGATATTGGATCGATTGGGCAATGAATTTGGCACTTTGTCAACGGTTTCCTTGTGGACCTGCATGCAATGTATCGATAGACCGGGACCCGTATACAATTTCTTGTGGCAAATGTGACATTTGAAATGTTTTGCCTTTTGATGTTGCACCAAGATTTTTTCATCGTCAAATTCACGATTGCAATACCTAGATTCATCGGGATGGAGTTAAGGAAAAGAACCACAAAACACCAATGGAACAAAAAATAAATAAAGCACAAAACAAAATTTTAATCATTTAAGGCAGTGACGCCATCCATCTATCCATCCATACACACGCTAAAAACGCAATGCAAATTATCACGCGCGAAACCTTCTTCTGGCATCAAAAGAACCCCCCACGAAGTTTGTGGAACACTAGGATAGAACAAGTGCATTGTTTTTTTATTGGTTATATAAAATTAGCTCAAAACTAAGTATGTATGTATATACACAGCACACATTTTTTCATTCCTCTCGAATAGAATAGATCTCCCAGAACATACAAATCTCCAAGACAAACAGAAAAAAACAAGCACAGCACACACGCCTAAAAATCCATTCATACATTTTCGCCGTCTTAAATTCTAAACACAATTTTTTGTTTCATTTGAAAAGGATACCAGCACCAGGGTTTTGAGGCCTTCTTCTTTTTGCGACCCATAATTTGTTTAGTTTATACAAATAGGAAGAGTTTGGAGGACTCCAACAAAGTTATAGTTTCTTTTTTAGATACAAATTTTTCTTCCTATCAGAAGGAAAACAACGTTGATTCCGTTTACAGCGATGACCCCGTAAGAAAAAATACTTGTGTTCCAATCTATTCCGATATTCAGCAGCTCGCAGAAAAAACAAAATGGCTTACAATAAGGCTCATCACACGCTAATCAAAATGTTTAGCGCTCGTATGACAGATAGTTCATTGGCGTATAGCAGTTTGAAACACAATTAAAGCGGTCGGCGATTGTTTATGTTAACACATTTTTGACCTTAAAAGCATTTACATAGAACGTGTTTTGATATGATAAAGCATCATTTAAACGTTGTTTAAGTTGTCATTTGCGACATTTAGAAAATTTTACCGGATTAACCCACTCTATGGTTTGTTTATGTTAACATATTTTTTACCTTAAAAGCGCATTTACATAGAACGTGTTTTGATATGATTAAGCATCATTTAAACCTTGTTTATGTTGTCATTTGCGACTTTTACATTAGAAAATTTTACCGGATTAACCCACTCTATGGGGATTTATTTGACATGTATACAACAGAATTGACAATTGAAACCTACTGGGTTAACGAAATCCGATATAATGTATACCCCATGGTACAATTATAAAAGGTAACAGCAAATCCCAGCTGATTTGATTCCAACGTAATACTAGTGTCAATATGCATTTGACAAATTATGTTTTTAAAAATCACCCAACAGGAAAATTAGGAACTTATTCAATTCGAAATTGTTCTTTATTAAATGTCCTCCCGTATTCAATTTACTCACTTTGCCTGCTGGGAAAGTTTGAGGAAGCAAATCTTTCTTCAAGGAACAACTCGCTATTCCCAGCATTTGCATATGTGTTACACAAATATATGACAATGGCTCAATTATAGTAAAGATGTGGAAGCGATGGAAATATAAATTTGATATATTTTCATTCATGTTTTTCAATTTTTATTTTGAGGATTCAAAATAAAAATAATTTGATTGAAATTTGTTTGTTTGTTTACATTTTTCTATCAAAAGAGTTGACACTAGTAGAACTTACAACAACAAATTTCCATGTGGTTGTTGTATCGTTTGTTGTACAACAACACTTGCTGTTACCTTTTATTATTATACCATGTGTATACCCCATGGTACAATTATTCAAGGTAGGCCATACAATTTACAATTTGTTCATACTAGCTCTGTCTGTTAACTCGATATTTGGTAACAATTGTTACCAAATGTTACTAAATGTTATCTGTTTACACAAAAATCCAGTAAAAGAGAGTCAAGTGAGAGAGCAAGTTTGGCTTACTCTCTGAACTAGAACTTACTGAATAAATGTTACTGGAAAAGTAACCAGACACACTTACTGTGGCTTGTTATGTCAAAGTTATATACACAATGTGTGACTGTGTGTAATGTTTTGAAAAATATAACAAAATATATTCGAAAATCAATTTGTTTGATGATGGATTTTACAACATTACTTTACTTACTTAGCTGGCTTGTTACAGAACGGTTGTTCCATAAGCTGAGCTTAAAAAATATTTCCAAGCGCGTCGGTCTTGTGCGCATTTTTTCCAATTTGAAAGACCACTTTCCAAGATGTTTTTTCTACTTGTTATTTCCATCTAATACATGGCCTTCCCCTTCTGCCTTTTGAGCTGGGGCATTCTCATGCATTCGCACAATATGGCCACCGTAGTCGCTGCAGCTCAATACGACTGACTATGTCGATGTCCGCGTATAAATTGTAGAGCTGGCGCCAATATTCACCGTCGACGCAGATCGGCATGTAGATCTTTCGGAGCATTTTTCTTTCAAACACCCCAAGAGCTGCTTTATCTTCTTCCGCAAGTAACCATGCTTCAGATCCATATAACAGCACGGGTAGTATCAGCGTCTTGTAAAGTGTGAGTTAGGTCTGGCGGGCGGTGACCTTATTTCTAAACTACTTACTTAGACCATAGTGCATCTGTTGGCCATCACAATCCTTCTCCGAATTTAAAAACTGATGTCATTCGTTTTATTTATGGCGGAACCAAGGTATATAAAATCATTAACACCTCAAAGGTTTTATTTCTCAAGTCTTGCGCGTTGATACCATACGCTTGGTCTTCTCGCCGTTTACTGCCAGACCCGCTTTGGCAGACTGCTTCTCAATTTGTTCAAATGTGGATGTTACCGCTCGCAATGTTCGACAGATTATATCGATGTCATCGGCGTTTTTCTGTTCACCTTTGCGTCTCGTAAGACCTTTTCCAGCAGGATCACCTTGTCTGAGTCCCCGTTCGGTATTGAAGGGCTCCGATAGGTCCTCTCCGACTCTAATGTGTCGATGTATTTTTCGTGGGTCTTTTCCAGGATTTGGCGCAGAGTGAAAATCTGGTCAATGGTGGATTTGCCAGGTCTGAAGCCGCATTGGTATGGTCTAATAATATCATTGACCATTGGCTTCAATCGTTCACACAGCACACTTGATACCATTTTATATGCGATTGTAAGAAGGCTAATTCATCTATATTTGGCACAAATCTTGTCTCCATATCTTGTCTTGTCTCCGTTTTTGTGCACGGGACACAGGATGCTGAGGTTCCAATCATTAGGCATACAACATGCTCCTTCCAGATCCTCAACACGCTGTCTGTATCTGTCACCACGTTTCCTTCTTCATCTCTACAGGAGGATGTGCCTGCGCCAAAACCTTCGGTTTGGTGTTTTACTCGTTGGCAAAATTTTCGGACTTTATTCTGACTACTGTATATCTCGCTTTGCTCACTCTCGCGTTTTTCTTGATCTTTCTTCTTTTTTCTGAAAATACGTTTCTCTCCTTTTCTCTCTATAATTCTCCATCGCATTACGTGTTGCTACTGTCTGCCGGGATGCCCTATACGACTCTTCTGATCGTAACATGGATTTCTTAATGGTGGTTTTTGATCTCCAAGTGTTGCTTTTGCTGCAGTTTATAGATAGTGGGCAATTCTTTGTCATTGTGCTTCTATAGTCCTGATTTATATTAGGCGAGTTTTCTTGCGGCAATTTTTATCGTTCTCTTTTGAACTTTCTCCATGCGTCTATACAAGGCAATTCGGTTTCCAAAATATTTTTTTATTTGTTGTTTTTTCACATTTAAATATATATAAAATGTCAACAAATACGAAATACACAAAACGAATTGCCAGAAAATTGTCGGTACGAGCAATTATTTTTCATTTCTGTACCCCTTGCCCCTCTCTCCTACAAACAAAGACTTGCCGCAAGTAAACTCGCCTAATCTAAATCAAGACATACTGTTATCGGGACAATAAGTGTTTTCGTCAAGCAGGTGGGAAAGTTGAGCGGAGTAGGCTATGTCAAGTTTCCGTGTTACATTAGATCGCACCTTTACTGCTTACGGCATATCGTTAGCTAAAATGCAAAAAGGCGTAACTAACAAAAGCATAATTGTATACGAGAAGCAAAAACTGTTTTGAATGAAAACTATAAACATGTCAAATGAAGATTTTTTGCCCAGAAGGGTGATATTGCATATGACGAATAATAGACTATAATTTTTTTAACAAATTTAGTTGTTTAGTTTAATGGCAGTCATAACAATTAAGTAAAAATTTTAATTTTTTGTTAGTTACGCCTTTTTGCATTTATCAAATAAACCCACTTGTAGTTACGTCTTTTTCTTTTCTGTTAATAGAAGCTCCTTTTTTGACCTCAGACGTGTAAAACTTTGTCAAAACATGTAGTTTATTGACATTCACAATATTCATTCAAAAAGTCAATTTTCAATTTTTTTTTGTTAGTTACGCCTTTTTGCATTTTAGCTAACGATATACATTAGAACTTTTTACCGGGTTAACCTACTTTATGAGGACTTATTTGACATATATGCAAAGGAATTGACAATTGAAACCCACGGGGTTAACTAAACGTAATATAATGGTCCGAATGGAATGACGAATACCTTCCGTCTACATGGCCAATTTGATTTCTCGTTGCTTGATCAGGAGATATCCAGGTGTCCTTGTGTATATCGAGATGCGTGAATCTGGTGCTGCTACCTATCATGTCAATCAACCTCATGCCCTTGTCGAATGTTTCTTCATGGAGGCTGGATTTTCCGACGGTGGGACCAAAAATATTTTCCCTTCCCATTTTTGCATTAAAATTTCCTAGCAGAATTTTAAAGTCATGGCCAGGTTTTGGTGTCTATCATCACCTATGTCACCCCTTTGTGTATATATATATACAAATATAATTGAAATTAATTTTTACCGGATCGTTGAGAGACATTTATTGATCAATTCCGTAGCGTTTACGTCAAATCCACTAGATTTATGTATAGGATTCACTTGGCGTATTCACATTTTTGACATATCTCTATTGAAATGTACAAGTTTCTATCAAAAATAGTAATTAACGATAATAATTATTAGTCAATTAATGACAATTATTATTACATTCGCATGTAATGTGAAATAAACAAGCATTTTCCTAAAATACGTTCGGTGTAAATGCAGCAGCAACTCATACGATATAAACATATCAATACGATACCGTTAATGTCATCAGCAAACTTACGATACGTCGTGTACTAATTACAATCTCACAATTCACATACAACCCTTCAACTGACACGTCAACCATATTGACAACCTCTTTCTTGTCTTGTTTTTTTTTTTTGCAAACTGCACCAAAAGCTTGAGTGCGTGTCAGTGTCAGTTTTCCACGGAGACGATTTTCTTTTAGACATTTTCCTGTTATTATTTTTTTAAAACAAGAAAATCGTGGAAAATTGTTCACTTTTTGAGGAGTAGACATAAATTGCATTTAATCGCGGCACATAAAAGGGAAATCGGAAATATGGCCGAACAAATTGTTGACCAAGTGGTCGAAGCTGTCAAGGATGCGGTTGAGGCTGCAGTAGAGAAAAATGCAACCAGCGAAGAAACGATAACAAATGAGAAAGTACCATCAACGCCAGAAGGAATTGCAGTGGCCTATGGTTCACTGGTGATTATGGCTATGTTGCCGATTGTTTTTGGTTCCATACGCTCGGTCAAATTGCACAAAGCCAAAAAGGTGAGTTTTTCAAGAGAAGTTAATTTTCGGGGTCTTTTGGGTTTAGCATTTGCAGTAGTAATTGTCGTGTTGGTGGTACACGTTTGATACTGTATTTTATTGTTGTTGGTGTTGTTGTCAGGGGAGGGAGTTAAAGCCATACAATAATAACCAACCAATCAGTGTTAAGCGAATTGAAACGTGTATTAGGGGATTTTCTATATTTACTCTATTTTTATAAAAACAACTCACGTCTTGCTGCAAACCACATCATCAATATGGAGTATTTAAATAAGTTTAATTGTATGTACAGAAAAAAATGTTTAATAAGTTAGGTTTTATGTGGCAAATTTGTTGAATTTTTGTATTTATTTTCTTTTTATAAAATGTTGTTAATATAATTTTAGGTCACTTAAGCGGGATTTTGTTCTTATAATTTTTAGTAAATGGTCAACAAATCGAAATTGAGGCATGTTCGAATAGTACATTGCGAAGTCATCCGCGTAATACACACCACCTTATGGTGGAGGGTGGCACCACAAGGTGGAGTGTATATTAACAGCCCGTTTTTGTAAAATTCTAAACGAACGAATTCGAGTGACTTACGACCAAACCTTTGTTTATGTAAACAAATATTTTTTGATTCAAAACAAAAATAAATGACATATTCTTCAAAACCAAGGAGTTTGGTCGTAAGTCACTCGAATTCGTTCGTTTAGAATTTTACAAAAACAGGCTGTAAATGTGTCATTCCGTTTGCAACATTACGAAATGTTTAGCGGAGACCCCTTTCATGAGAATAAAATGATGTCGTTGTATGGATATCCGTCTGTTGAAATCGTTACTACTCCAAGGATTTTTGGTATTGATTATGGGATAAATCGATCAACGTTTTTATGTAGCCCCAAAAATGCCTTATTTTGGTGATTTTTGGCACGTTTTTCAACCGAATTGTCCGCAGTTTGAAACTTTGTGTTCCCATAGGTTAGCAAATATCCCTACAAAAAATGCTAGATATTGGTTCACTTCGGTTATTCGGTACGCCCTTTTATTGGGGTTTTTGGGGACTTTGGACATTTTTTTTAACGGATTTTTTTATTTGATTTTCCATTGGGTGTCAAATCTCCCTACCAAGTATCGGCCTCCTTTTTGGGATAACCCTCATTTAATTATTTGGTATTTTGGTATCGTTTTTAAAACGAATTGACTCCAATTTGGCGGATTTTCGACCCCCATTTCGATACTTTTCACTATCCATATTTCTTCAAGGCGTAGATTTGTTAAATAATTTTTTTTAAGGCGTAGATTTTTTAAATAATTTTTTTAAGGCGTAGTTTTTTTAAATAATTTTTTTTTTTCAAAGCGTAGATTTTTTACATAATTTTTTTTTCAAGGCGTAGATTTTTTAAATAATTTTTTTTTCAAGGCGTAGATTTTTTACATAATTTTTTTCAAGGCGTAGATTTTTTACATAATTTTTTTCAAGGCGTAGATTTTTTACATAATTTTTTTCAAGGCGTAGATTTTTTACATAATTTTTCTCAAGGCGTAGATTTTTTACATAATTTTTTTCAAGGCGTAGATTTTTTACATAATTTTTTTCAAGGCGTAGACTTTTTACATAATTTTTTTCAAGGCGTAGATTTTTTACATAATTTTTTTCAAGGCGTAGATTTTTTAAATAATTTTTTTCAAGGCGTAGATTTTTTCATATAATTTTAAAATTAACCCATTTTTTTCTTTTACAGATCAGTGGCGAAAAGGCTGATACAATGACAAAAAAGGATGCCATGTTCTTCCCCATTATTGCCTCTGTCGCTCTCTTCGGCCTGTACACTTTCTTTAAGGTGTTCTCGAAAAATCACATTAATCTTTTGTTGACCGGCTATTTCTTCTTTTTGGGTGTTATCGCTTTGGCCCATTTACTTAGTCCCATTGTAAATTCCCTGATGCCAGCCGCCGTACCAAAAATACCATTCCATATACATTTCACTAAGGGCGAGGGTAAAAACAAAGAAGATCTCATAAATTATAAATTCTCGACCCACGACATTGTCTGTCTGGTATTGTCCACGGCCATTGGTGTCTGGTATCTGTTGAAGAAACATTGGATTGCCAATAATATGTTCGGTTTGGCTTTTGCCGTTAATGGTGTTGAAATGTTGCATCTGAATAACATTGTTACCGGTTGCATTCTATTGAGCGGTCTGTTCTTCTACGATATCTTCTGGGTGTTTGGCACAAATGTTATGGTGACGGTGGCCAAGAGCTTTGAAGCCCCCATTAAGCTAGTCTTCCCCCAGGATTTGATCACCAATGGCTTGAGTGCATCCAATTTTGCCATGTTGGGGTTGGGTGATATTGTCATTCCGGGTATCTTTATTGCCTTGTTGTTGCGTTTTGACCATAGCACCAAACGTAAGAGCCGCATCTATTTCTATTCCACATTGACGGCATATTTCCTGGGTTTGATGGCCACCATATTTGTTATGCATGTGTTCAAGCATGCCCAGCCAGCTTTGTTGTATTTAGTGCCAGCCTGCATGGGTACACCACTGTTGGTAGCATTAGTACGTGGTGAACTTAAGACCTTGTTTGCGTAAGTGCTCATTTGTTTTCCCTCCTCCTCATCATACAGAGCAACGTTTTATTTACCTTTAAACTCGTTTTTTAGCTATGAAGATCATCCCGAAGAGAAACCCGAAAAGAAAGAAACCAAGGAAAATAGCAGCAGCAGCAACAAAAAGAAAGAATCCAAAAAAGCCAAATGATTATCAGGCGATTTCCAGACGCACACTTCCACTGATAACACTACAACATCCACCACCGCAAATACCTTACATTCTGTAGCGCCGTCGTCGTCATCCTCGTCACCGGTTGCCCCGTTTATTCGTGTAAAACGTTATCCCAAACATTTTTCTATACGACCCAATTCATATATATAAAGAAAGACAGAAAAAATAGCATTGATACTTTCGTTCCAGAGAGAGCAGCAGAAAGAAAAAATAATAATTTTTTATTTAGCTTTTATCATTTTATTTAGCATCATTTATATATATATATATATATATATATATATATATTTTACATATATACAAACATACAAGAAGAAAAAAAGTATATATATACAAAATATTAATAACAAAATAAAGTAGTATAAAATTTATTTTGTCTTTTTTTAAGACCCCCTTTTTCGAAATATAAACAACAACAAAAACATAAAACAGATATTTGTAAATATTTTAACAAAAATGAAAAACTTCCCTCCAATGTGGTTATATATTTAAAAACAAAACAAACTGCCTTTATTTTGCAGTTAAAATTCCTTTCATTTTCGCTTTAACTTATATACCTATCTATAAAAAAATACATGAAAAAAGTGCATATATGTAATAAAGAAATAATATTTAAAAAAAGTATATATATATGAAGTTTATTAACCATAAACGTATGCGGAAATAAATAAAAAACAAAAAATAAAATTTTAGTTTATATTTAAGAACTAAAAAATATATGGTTTTATTGTTTCAAAAATGTTAAGATGTCCCCTTCGAAGTTTCTGGTTGTGTAGACATTCCCGGCTCCATTTTCTCAGAGCTACTCGCAGTTCTCTACCTTAATTTGCGGAGATCTAGGAATTCTATCTAAAAAGAAGCCTTGGAAATTATCTTTAAAAATCCACGCCTTAAGGCCTTGGGATAGCCTTAGAAATACTCTTTAAAAATCCGCGCCTTAAGGCCTTGGGGTAGCCTAGAAATACTCTTTAAAAATCCGCGCCTTAAGGCCTTGGGGTAGCCTTAGAAATACTCTTTAAAAATCCACACCTTAAACCCTTGGGAAAGCCTTAGAAATACTCTTTAAAAATCCACGCCTTAAGGCCTTGGGATAGCCTTAGAAATACTCTTTAAAAATCCATGCCTTAAGGCCTTGGTATAGCCTTAGAAATACTTTTTAAAAATCCACGCCTACGATTTAAGGCCATGACATTATCCATATCCAGAGATAAATGAGAATACTTGGCTAAGACGGAAAATCCATTTTACTTCTGATTCTACAGAGGACATCCGTCACCGAGACAAACAATTTTTGATCAGTTATACTTCCGACACTAAGTATTTGGCACACGAAAATGACTGCTTAGATTTAAATATTAAAACAACAGTTTATGTTTATTATAAATACATCATCATCGAAACATATGATGATAGTTTCCATCTTTTATTTTCGTTACTTTTTTGGGTTACCTAAATAATAGTAATTGCTTTAAAATAAGCAAAAAATATTGTATTTTACATTGAGAGTAAAAAAAAATATTCTATGTAATTAAATTAAACACTTCTACTTCTTCATTCATTCGTACACACAGCAGATGAAAATTTGTGTTTCTTTTTGTTGTTATTTTGTTTTATTTAAACTTTCTTTAGAGTTTTGTGTCAAAAGAAAAAAATGTATTGGGGGTATTGATGTACGGCTTTACTATTACTAAACTCTACGCTGCCAGCCAATCAATCAAACTGGATACAATACAATGATGGAGTGCAGCGTGGGCATCTATATTCATATTGCTTATGAAAAATGGTACTATGTTAAAAATTATCGTCCTTCAACTAAAAAAAAAGCAAATTACCAAATATATTAGTAAATTATCTAATTTATTTATATCAATTTTATTTATACTCACTGTAAGAGGATAAATCAATTTCATCGGGCAACTCTGTAATATTCACATCGAAACGATCCTGAACTTCATTGAGAATTTTGGCATCGGCTTCATCCGACACAAAGGTAATGGCCAAACCCTTGGTACCAAAACGACCAGCACGAGCCACACGATGCAAATAGGTATCCGAATCTTCGGGCATGTCATAATTGAATACAATATTGACACGTTCAATATCCATGCCACGTCCAAACAAGTTTGTGGCGACCAAAATACGTTTTTGGAAATCCTTAAATTGTTGATAACGATTTAGACGTTCCTCCTGGGTCATACCACGATGAATACCAATGGCGGGGAAATTTTGTTCTGTCAACAATTGAGCTAGGGCCATGCAGCGTTGTACCGATTTTACAAAAATTACCACCTACACAAAACAAGACAATCCATTATATTATTTTTTTTTAGGAAAAAGTAAATAAATTCGAAAATTATTTCATTAAAGTTTTTGTGTGTCTACCCACTTGATTGAATTCCAATACATCCAAAAGTTCAAATAATTTTTTGTTTTTCTCATTTTCCTTCAACTTGACATAATGCTGTTGCAGACCATGCAATGTCAATTTGGCTTCGTCGTCCACATACACTTCCATGGGCTATAGTTTTATAAAAAATTACAACAAAAATGGATTAATAAAATATGAAAATAAATCAAAAGTTAAACAAAGTTGTGGTTTTTTTTAATTATTTTGTTGCTAAGTGATGCTTCTTTTTTGGCATTTGACCTATGTTGTTAATTAGTTTTGCTACATACGGCTAGGCTACACAACCAACACCACCAAAGACGTTCTCTCAAAACAAATGCAAGGAAGGATGTATGTTGTAGGTAATTCACCACCACTCTCTCTCTCTCTCTGGCAAGAGAAATTCTTCAGATTCCATTGGAGGATTTTGTGATCATCACATTCTTCATTATATTAGTGTCGTTATGGATATTCACAGAACTCCACGACGATGCTACAGATGTTGCACTCGTGCTTCCACCAAAAATTGAGACAATTTGTTTATTTTTTTCATATGTTGTGATTGATTATTACGCGAACTGTGTTTATATGGTGGTTTCACTGAACCGCATTACATTAAATCGTGTTCGATCATGTTTTATTGTACAGCACGAATTTTTATAATTTAAATTGTGGTAACGTTTTTTTACAGCCCGTTTACAAATTATATTTATTTATAAATTCCCATTGAAGAAAATGGCCGACCAATCAACGGGCGCTGCGGAGCGAGATATTTGTAGAAAATTATTATTTATTAGCATTCCAAATGCTTTTTAACGTTTTTTCAATTCCCGATTAGTTTTTAGGACTTGCCCGGTTGGTATGTTCGGTCGCAAAACAAACAATTTTTTTTTTCGCGAAAAAATCTAATTGCCCAAAAAAGAAACGTGGTTCATCAGGTTAACGGCTTAAATGTTCGCGAAAAACATTTAATAGTAGCAGTGTTTGAGATTCCGCTTTGTGGTGGCATAACTAATAATGTTTTTCGTATGACGACAACAACAACTAGGTTTAGTAGTAGTATTGGTAGTAGTAGTAGAAGTATTGATAGATATATGTAGATCATGTTGTTGATATTTACATCTTGCATGAATTTTTTGCAAACAGGACGAATGTCTTTGCTTAATGTGGCGGAAAACATCATAACTTGTTTTCCATGAGGTGTACTGCGGAAAATCTCCTGAACATCACGACGCATGTCTGAAAAGAATAAAAAAACAAACTATTAGAATGAATGTGTTTGAAAATTCTAATTATAAAAGTGATTGGCAAATTTTATTCCTTAGTGGGATTACGACATTCTGGAGGGTCGGTTTAACTCCGTCCAACAAGGTATGAATTATTTAAGGAATTTTTTCATGGTCAAACTTCCCGTGGATTATTTAAAAAAAAAAATACTTTTTTATTGCCCAAAATGGCGTTGATTATTTTCAGAAAGAAAATTAAGGTCCAGTAAGTAGTGGATAATTTTAATAATGTTTTCGGAGGACACAAATCACGGAGGATTATTTTAAGAATATTTTTTTTAAGTCCCAAAAAGGCGAGGCTTCTTTAAGAAAAACATTTAAACAAGTTTGGACATTTTTTCCCAGAGCCCAATTTTAGAAAAAAAGGGCCCAAACAAGGAAAAAATAAAAAAAAACATTTTTTCAAAAACAAGCAAGGCGTGGATTATGTAAAAAATATTTTTTTAGAATTAATAATGCGTGGATTATTTAAAAATTATTTTTTTAAGAATCAATATGGCGAGGTTTATTTATTTTTTTTTTTTAAATCAATAAAACATTTTATAAGAATCAAAAAGGCGTGGATTTTATAAAAATACTTTTTTTTAAGAATCAATACGGCGTGGATTATTTAAAAAATAATTTTTTAAGAATCAATACAACTTGGATTTAAAAAAAATCAAGGTCCCATACACCATTTCTCTGTAATTTTGATGGAAGAGTCTGCAACAGGCTCTATATTTGAAATAAATAAATTTGTATTATGATGGACTGACTCCCCTCCCGAAGCTTTCTATTATCAAATTCATTGTTAAGATTTTCTCAATTAGATAACAAAAAAATAAAATAAATAAATTTATATATTACTTACCAAGTTGTTCCAACATTTTGTCACATTCATCAAGGATGAAATGTTTCAAATGCTTCAAATTCAATTTCTTGTTGCGTATCAAAGCCAAAATGCGACCAGGTGTACCAACAACAATGTGTGGAGTGACATTCTTTAAATTTTCTTCATCTTTTTGGATGGATAAACCGCCAAAGAATACGCCAACCTTGAAGAAAGAAAATTAAATAATGAAAACGATTTATTATATTGTACTGTTAATCGAAATATTCTGAACGACTAGGCTAACACCAACAACAACATGTGAAATAAATAATTTTATTGGTAGGTAAACCTTTTTTCACAACTCACCTTTACGGATGGCATATATTTAGAGAATCGTTCATATTCCTTACTGATCTGGAATGCAAGTTCACGAGTGTGACACATGACTAGAACATAGACAACATTTTCGGTTGGTTCCAATTGCTGCAGTGTGGCAAGTACAAACACAGCAGTTTTACCCATACCAGATTTAGCCTGGCACAGAATATCCATGCCCAATACTGCCTGAGGAATACATTCATGTTGTACTATAGAAAAGAAAATGTAGATGAAAAAACATTGTATTTTTGTTATTTCACAATTCAATAGCAAAAAAGGGGGAGACTCTTACCTTCCGATGGATGTTCAAAACCACAATCAACGATGGCTCTTAAAATTTCCGGCTTTAGCAGGAAATCACGAAAACCAGAACTGTGTATAGATACGTAGGTACCTTTGACATCTTTTTTTGGCGCCTCTTGAGTTTCGGCAACAGTGGTCTCGGTCTGTTCCTCATCCTCGTAATCCAAAAGATCATCATTATCAGCCATTTTTGAGTTGTTTTTTTCTTCTAGATTTTCGAAACTACAAACAAAATAAAAATAGCCGCGTGTGCTAAAAAACAAGACAAATAAAAGTGAATTACTTCGTGGCTCAAATATTTATAAAAAACAAAAAAGCTACGCGTTTCTTCGGCCATGGGAAAAATGCCACATTTGGCATAATTTCACCGGTTGACGCCATTTTTTAATATCATGACAGACAACGAGAACTTGAGGTTAGTCACTAATACTGTTGTTTTAGTACATTTTATTTTCAACAGGGGAACTAAAATTAAAACAAATATATTAACTAAATTTGTTGTTACCTTTATAAATGCTTTGTCAATATATTTTATAATTATATTTAAATAAATCTATTTTTTCTCGATCAAGCACAACTTTTTTTTCACAATTTCTTTTCCTCGGCGTGTGTGTTCGGCTTGGTAGTTTCTTGATAAGTCGCGCAGCACGCTGACTTCGGGCATCTATAAACTGTCAGTGCTGCCAAGTTGAATAATTTCAGTAGTGTTATTCTAAATTACGACGTACGCTGGCGTCACACATTGAACGTATCGTAATACATTGATATATTTACAAGGGATGTGTTTTGTGAAAAGAAGCATTTACACATACGATTTTAAATCAATCCGATTAAATAAATACAGGGTTAGCCATTTCGAAGTTCGTTTACTATTAAACGTAAATTAAAACACATTTACAATACCTTTTTACATTATTGGTCTGTGCCCTTACTTTTTTTCGATATCATAAGAATAAAATTCATGGTACAATTATTCAAGATAACTGCAAAACTACAAGAAATACAAATCGACAACAACCACAAAGAAAATTGTTATTGTATGAAACACTAGTGTCAATTTGATATGTCGAAAAATGTAAACAGAACAAATGAGATATCAATAAATTAGATTTATTTTCATAATTTAAGTAAATTGCAAACCAAACGATAACGAACTTTTGTTGCGATTTCTTTGATTTGAAAATGTAAAATTGTCAACGCGCGATTAGTACTCGTCTAAATTAATATAATTGGAATTCTCATGCCAATTCATGCTTGTAAAATTGGTTCAGAAAAAAATTAAACGCCGATACTATATTTTTCTATCTTCTGCAGATTTGAGAATATGGCAAAGAAAAATGTCAAACATTTGTTGTATTTCTCTGGTTTCATATATATTGTAAAACTCAAATTGTATTATCGTACTATTTATTTCAAATGTAATATGCACAAAATTTTCCTACTGGGTCGTTCTACATAAATCAAAAATGTCATATCGATCTTGAACGAGTACCTTATATAATTGTACCATGGATAAATTAGTTATCGTAGTAAAAAATTGTACATTCTTGTAGGTTCTGTACACACACACACAAAATTGATTTCTACTTTCATTCAATGTGCAATGTTGCCAATCAAGATCTATTAATAAGTTCACCAAGATAGCAATCGAAATCGGAAAACAGCTGTTTTTTTCTCAAGTCTAATGTCAAAAATTTCGACTTTGTTTACGTTTTCATAATGGAAGTCAATTCACAATAATGCATTTTGACAGCAAACTTGAGAGGTATCTATCATGGCCTATAAATAAGGTCACCAAGGGAGACCAGCTGATTATAGATACCTCTCAAGTTTGCTGTCAAAATCATGTGAAATATTATATGAAAAAATTTGACAAAGGGTCGAGACAAAAACAAAGGTTTTTGTTGTGATACATCACCTTATTATTGCATTATGTCCTGTACCATGGTAGAAGGGATATTGGAGTAAAAAAATAACTTTTAAATATTATTTATTTTTTGGTAAATTTTATTTTTAAAAAAGAAGGCAAATCACAGCCTCCTATTATTTGTAAAGCATTGGCTTTTCAAAACAAAAAAGCTATCATACGATGAGTAGCAAGCACACAACATAAACAGTACAATGCACATATAATTAATGAATTTAATGATAGGTAAAAAATGTTTTAATAATAATTATCAGTTATACAAAAGATATAAGAAGAATGTGTAACAAAAACATTGTAAACATTTAACAAAAAATACGTATATTTTCGAGTACAACTCTTAAAAATTTGTGATGATAAATTTATTTTAATTTGCTTTGACAAAAAATAATTATTTTTGTCATGTCAATGGTGGGTGGCGGTATGGTACTTGTGTGTGTCCTACCGTATTGTTGCTTTCTTTTTTTGTTAGGAATGTATTTCATATCAAATGAATTCCTATATATAATAATAAGGCAATTTTAACGTATACTGAGAGAGATGATGAATGAACAAAAACAAAAAAATACGACACTTAATTTTAACAATAAAATAACTAAAAACTACTACTAATAATAATATAAAACATAGTACTCTATTTGGCAGCTGGTGGTTTTTCTTTTTCCCCACACTTCAAAATTAACAACGTGTGTGTTTTTTTAAACAAACTACTGACTCTCTGGCACAGCTTATCTTTTGGAACGTTTCATTGGTGGTTCTAGGAAATTCTCTTCATCTTCTGTCTCCATGGGTTCGATTTTCATTAACTTATTGGCAGTACGTAACATTTCTTGATCCTTAAGCCAGCTACTTTGCAGGACATCATCAATCGTGGGTCTTTTTTGTGGATCAACAATTAACATGTTCTTGATCAATGATGTGGCTCTCTGTGACACCTGCTTCCAGGAGGGATGATTAAAACGGAAATGTCCCTTTTTGATTTGTTCAGAGGCTGGTGAGCCATAATCGTCAGAAAAGGGTAAGGTGCCGCTTAGACTGGAAAGTAGAAAAGAATACAAGAGATGTGATTTTATATTTAGTTTAGTTTTATTTATATTTTCTAAAATTATAAGAGCAAACTTTTTTCAACCCACTTACCACGTGAAAAGTACCACACCCAAACTCCAAATGTCAACTTTTTTGGTATAGGCACCACGACCACCAGTTAACAACACTTCTGGTGCAACATACAGAGGTGTGCCACAAAGGGTTCGCATTACAGAATCTTTCTGTACAAATTTGCTCAAACCAAAGTCCGAAACTTTCAATAATGTTTCTTCGTCCGAAGTTTCAAGTAGTACATTATCTGGCTTCAAGTCTCGATGAGTTATACCTGGAATTAATTATTAATTTGGTTGAATTTTTAAAGAATATTTTTTCAAGCCTAATCAAGGCGTGGATTTTTTAAAGAATATTTTTTCAAGCCTACAGAAGGCGTGGATTTTTTAAAGAATATTTTTTCAAGCCTACAGAAGGCGTGGATTTTTTTAAAGAATATTTTTTCAAGCCTATAGAAGGCGTGGATTTTTTTTTTAAAGAATATTTTTTCAAGCCTATAGAAGGCGTGGATTTTTTTAAAGAATATTTTTTCAAGCCTATAGAAGGCGTGGATTTTTTAAAGAATATTTTTTCAAGCCTATTGCAGGCGTGGATTTTTTAAAGAATATTTTTGAGGCCTATAGAAGTCGTGGATTTTTTAAAGAATATTTTTGAGGCCTATAGAAGGCGTGGATTTTTTAAAGAATATTTTTTGAGGCCTATAGAAGGCGTGGATTTTTTAAAGAATGTTTTTTGAGGGCTATAGAAGGCGTGGATTTTTTAAAGAATATTTGTTGAGGCCTATAGAAGGCGTGGATTTTTTGAGGCCTATAGAAGGCGTGGATTTTTTAAAGAATATTTTTTGAGGCCTATAGAAGGCGTGGATTTTTTAAAGAATATTTTTTGAGGCCTATAGAAGGCGTGGCCTTTTTAAAAAGATTATTTTTTGAGGCCTATAGAAGGCGTGGATTTTTTAAAGAATTTTTTTTGAGGCCTATAGAAGGCGTGGATTTTTTTAAAAAGATTATTTTTTGAGGCCTATAGAAGGCGTGGCCTTTTTAAAAAGATTATTTTTTGAGGCCTATAGAAGGCGTGGCCTTTTTAAAAAGATTATTTTTTGAGGCCTATAGAAGGCGTGGATTTTTTAAAGAATATTTTTTGAGGCCTTGGATTTTTTAAAGAATATTTTTTAAGGCCTATAGAAGGCGAGGATTTTTTAAAGAATATTTTTTGAGGCGTGGATTTTTAAAAAAATAGAAACCTTAACCTTTATCGTGTAAATATTTCACAGCATGACACATTTGATAGAAGAATAACTTGGAAATCTTTTCCGGCAGCCTTTTATTTTCAATAATACGATTTAGTAAATCACCACCTTTCATAAATTCCAATACCATATATACCGAGTCGGGTTTATCAACTATGTCGTGCATATTAATAACACAGGGCTGTAAAAAAAAAAACAATCAATTATAAATTTTCAAAATTAAAAAGGGCAATAACAACCAACTCACATGATTGAGATTTTTCATAATTTTTGCTTCATTCATAACACGATTGGGGTCGGTTAAATGATTGGGACTAGTACTCGTAGCCAACATATTTTTCTTAACAATTTTCATGGCATATTCCTGGCATGAACGTCTATCGTATACGAGGCGTACCAGACCACAGGCTCCAGAGCCTAATTTGCGACTAACATAATAATTTGATGTGATTTCTTTGGGCAAGCCCATTGCTTCATTTGGACTGAGATCTTTAAAGACAAATGCTGAAAAGAAATCAACAAGAAAAATCAATTTTTTTATTAATAATAAAATGGGAAATAAAAAGCGGGATTGGGTCGACTTGAAATCCTTGTGGAATTGTAGGATTAGAATAACTTTCTGAGTCGATTTATGCATTCTCGACGGTCCGCCTGTTAATATTTTATTTATTTTTAATTTCTTAATACTAATGGCTTCAGATCAGAAGTCGGCTTAACTCCTTTGTCAGAGACAATGGGCTTCGCCGATTCCACTACTTCACTTGATTTAGAGGTCTCCTTGGAGATTTTTATTCGAGCAGTTGGATTCGGGAGAGAGATCCCTTCCATCTGGAGTTCAAGATGGGGAGCGTGCGGATAGATTATTTCGAACTTCCTTACGAATCTCATCTTGTCTTTGATGAGGTGAACTTCCCTCCCCGAAATCAAATTCGATTCTCGCCCCACAAACTTGCGGAGATACGAAACAGCACGTTTGTAGTGCTTCGCATCAGCTACTTTTCGGGCCTTCCCAACATTTGAGTCCGCTGTCCGTTGCTGAGGTCTAGACAGATTCCCAATCGTCGAACATCGCCTCCGTCGCAGATTGCCTCTGAAGTTTATTGTCGGCAAGTGCCGACACAGTACCTGTTGGAGTCAGACTTGAAGTCGTTCGGTCCTTGGTTTATGCAATGACAATCACCCTGTTAGACTTGCCTGGGATCATCGTGGTGTCCAGCTCATCATCAGTCAGGTATATATTTGTGTGCAGTTCCTCCGAAATACGTATCCCCAAATTGCTCTTGTACAAGTCTGTGTCTAACTGAGTGAAGATTTGCTAAGTTTGCTCCTCTAAACATCGCGGATAGCGTTAGACCGTGTAATATCGTCCCCATATATTTTTGCCTGATTGAATGTAAATTCTGTAGCCAAGGATTTCCACACCTTACACTTGATCACAATCGCTTGATCTCGACGACACGTGGCTTGTGATCTCACCGATTGCCGCCGGTACTAGGTAATTAACTGCACCCTGCACCGTAACTTTATTCTTTTTGCTCTTTTAACCCATCGTAGTTGATTAATTTAAGGGCACTAAACCGATCCATTTTGGTCCACGGGGGATCCGAAGATCCACAAGATTTCCACGAAGTGCAGAGAAAGGTTGAATTAGGTCAGTTTTCACTCTGCACATCATGGAGACCCCCTTCCAATCCGCCACCCGGAAAGACGCGCCTAGTAGGATATTGGCAACGCTCCGAATTTATCTAAAAGGGACACTTAACTCCCAAGGTTGGTCCGATTAAGAGGAAATTTGGGAAATTGGTTCAGATTTAGATATAGCTCCAATATAAATTTTCGCCCGATTTTATCTAAGCGGTGCACCGAAGAGCCTATGTTATTTCGATTTAAACGAAATTTTGCATTGCGAATTCATTTGAATTGTATGTGCATAGCAAAGTTTACATCTATCTGTTTTCCAAACCGAATTTATGAAGCTCCCTTCAGTCCCTAATCAAGCTTTTATATTCAACGTAAATAAATATTTACCTTTGTATGTGGGATGCGATAGGGAAATAATGTCATCATTTTGTAAAATACGTCTGCTATTTGTACCAATCCTTTCGCTGTTCACAAATGTACCATTCCGGGATAAATCCTATGGATGAAATTATATAGGCAGACGTAAAAAATTACAAAGAAATATAAACACAATTTTTCATGTAACACCTTGAGGCACCACTGAATTAATACAAACTATTATAACAATCAATTATTACATACATACATATTATTATTTACATATCTAATAATTCAAATACTCACCTCTATATAAACAGGATTTGATAAATCACAGTTAGCTCGTCGTATTACAAAATGGACCTTTGATATGCGACATAAGATTTTCTCTGGCAAATCGTTGAGCGTCAATATCAGATCGTTGTTTTCTCCACGACCAGCGGTGAAGCTTTCATTGCTTAAATCTACAAACAGAAAAAAGTAAACAAACGAAAAAAAATTAATGCATGTATACACATTTAACAAAAATCCAAAAATTATCACAATATCAAATCTACATCAAGGACGTAATTTATAATACAACAGAACAACGACAACAAAAAAGGCAACAAGTCTTTCTTTGACAAGAAAAAAACAACAAAAAATGTTACCAACAGAAAAAGACGTATTCAGATACAGAATCTTATATTTGCCTGTCCTACCCAGAGATTTAACTTTAATGTTTTTCCCGTAGAGTCGTCCCCATACGATATTCTCAATTGGTTGGCTTTCAACTTGACTCCATATATTCGATGTTTGGCTTTGTGTGGCTCCTTGCGTTTGAGATTGGGGTTCACGATCGCGTGCCATGGTAGTTTTTTTTATCTTTACGATATCACCTTTTTCCCAAAAGTCAGAAGTTGTTTTTTATATTTTGGAATATTTTATTTATTTCAATGTCACTTGTTTTCGAATTATTTGAAAGTTGCCGGCACAATACGAACCAAGTCTACGAACATAGAATTATTAGAAACATAACTGTTTATTTTATTAGCAGTTATATTTTTGTTCTTCTTTTTTCTGTGACGGAGGTTTGTTGTTTGTTCTTCCAGATGTGATTTGTTTGTGCAAAAGAGAACGATAGCTGTATAATGGCGCGTAAAAGATCACAGAGTGACCGATGTGTGTTGTAACGGCGTTGGTAAGTAATGTTTAATTGTTAAGCTACCCTTACATTACACATGTTTCATAGACATAGTAGTCTGTTATAAAAAATAATATAAAGAGGAAAATGGCCGGGAGGCGGTCCAAAATACTTAAAGAGAAGTGGTTAAAGTGGATGGTCCACTCTTTCTGATACATCACCCACAGAGTGGTCAAAGTTTTGAAAATTTGGAAACGCAATAATAGAACGTTTACATTGTACTGGATCTCGTTGACCCAGTGTGTTTAAATTGTCAATTCCATTGTATATATGTCAAATAAATCCTCTTAAAGTAGGTTAACCCGATAAAAAGTCCTAATGTAAATGCAGTTTAAGCAAATTCTGCGTGATATCGGTTCACCCAGTCTATATATCGCAATTTTTCAAATAGTATAAATCCAATATACCCAAAGAAAAAAACCGTCTCTCACAAAATTTCATAATATTTGAATAAATAAAAAAGTAAAAAAAAAACAATTGCTCCATCTCTTTATCAGGCATTGACACCGTAGTCTTGCATTCTACTATCCAGTACAGACCTATCTTGTACAGAACTGGCAACTCCTAGGGGAGTTGCCAATCTCCTACTAGGCGCGTCTTCTCGGGTGGCGGAAGGGGTCTCCATGATGTGCAGGGTGAAATTGACCTACGACAACTTTTCTCTGCACTTCGTGGAAATCTTGGAGATCTTCGGATACCCCGTGGACCAAAATGGATCGGGGTAGTGCCCTTAAATTAATAAATAACGATGGGAAAAAAGAGTAAAAGGAATAAAGTTACGGTGCATGGAGTTAATAAACCAGTACCGGCGGCAATTGTTGATGAGATCAAAAGCCACGTGTCGTCGTGATCAAGCGATTGTGATCCGGCTAGGTGTGGATGCTTTGGCACCTGCAGCTGTATCTGTTACATCCGCATCAATTTGAAAGACAAAGACAAGATGAGATTCGTAAGGAAGATCGAAAGAATCTATCCGCACGCTCCCCATCGTGAAATTCAGATGGAAGGGATCTCTCTCTCCCGAATTCAACTGTTCGAATAAAAATCTCCAAGGAGACCTCTAAATCGAGTGAAGCAGTGGAATCGGCGAAGTCCACTGTCTCTGACAAGGGTGCGAAGCCAACTCTTGATCCGAAGCCTTGCTCGAAACCTAACCCGAGTCAGAAGGCAAAGGCTACTGAAAACATCCCGACACAAACTGTCATCCATAAGGGTGACCCAAGCGACAAAGGTGAAGCGGTTGGTGTTAAAGCTTGAAGTGGATCCGCCAGTGGCAGGAATAAGAAGAAGGGCAAGTTCGGAAAGGAGTCATCGTCTCCTGGGAGAGCAAATGCCGCCCCGCAGGGCAAATCGGTGAAGCGCATCCGCTCATCAGAAGGTCCGCAACCTTCACACAATAAGACGATGACTTCGCTTCTGACTGACCCATTGTTTTTTTCCAGTTGTATTTTCTCAAGTCAAAAATGGTTTTTGACAGCAACTTTGAGAATCAGCTGATATCCAAATTTTATCTAGTAATATTTCTATTGTCGGCAACATTGAATTGACAGTTAATCGGATAGTTAGCTGATCTAAAGCGTACACAGTAGCATTTTTGAATGTCAGTATTGCCCAAATTTAGCTTGTTTTATAGGTTGGTCTGTCATGTTTGCAATTCATCAGGCAACCACAAAAATATTCATTATTATTGGACAGTCAGTAATCGATAAAAACGCTGTCACCCCAAAGGGCTAGTGTGATGTTAAAGGTTAGTACTGACAGTCCACACTTATAGTGTGTACACCGCTTTAAATGTACTTGTAGATGCCAATGTTGACAAAGTTTTAGTCCTGATTTATATTAGGCGAGTTTACTTGCGGCAATTTTTATCGTTCTCTTTTGAACTTGCTCCATGCGTCTATACAAGACAATTCGGTTTCCAAAATATTTTTTTATTTCGTTTCACAAAACGAATTGCCTTTATGATATCGAAGAAAATAGTAAAATCGAGTAGATTCTTGCAGTACGGGAACAGAACATATGTGACGCCAACGATTTCTTTCAAAGTTATCGATAACATCAATAGCAACGAGTATTGTCATCACTATCGAGAAGGAAACACTAGAGTTGGGCAATCGGGCAATCTAGTTCACGTAGCGGATCGATCATTCTCGTTTCTTTTTTAAAAAGGAACTAGTTCCTTAATGTAGTTCCTTTGAACTATGTAATTACTTCATAATTAAGAGTCGAACCACGAATGAGAGAGGGAACAACGCTCGTCTGTACATGGCATTAGACTTTTCAATACAAAAAGTCGATTAATCGAAAGTCGATTTACTTATCCCTAATCATAATTTGCCTAAACCTCATTCGTAAACAACACGGTTTCCATTTAAGTGGCCCACACACGTCAAACATGTGCGTTCGATCGGTGTGAATCGAAGCAATGTTTGACGTGTGTGGTACGGTGTTCACACCGATTTCCCGGTGCGCACACCGATCGAAAGAAATTAAAATTTTTTAATTTTTCGTTGTGCGACGCGCACATGTTTGACGTCTGTGGCCTGGTGCGTGGATATTTTCTCATTTGTTGAGAAATTTCGTGGAGTGCGGATCAGCGGACAAATGCAATACATATGTATTTGGAAGATTTTTTGATGTTTTTACACATATTCTACTGTGTGGCAAATAAAAATGTTTTTTCCCGGAATAAAATAAAAGTATTTAATACATTTATATTAAATAAAAATATTTCGTCTTTTTCCGTCATCACTATCGCGGTCCATCTTTACGCTTCAAAAATTAATATGAAATGAAGTTTAATGGATCCGTTTGACGTGTGTGGGCTAGGAGCTTCACACCGATCTAACGCACATGTTTGAGGTGTGTGGCCCACTTTAGTCTCTATCCCACCTCACTCGTAAACTTTCGGTTATACCATTTTGAGTTCATCCTTATCGGCCATTTTGTCTTCTCCTCCCATTCGTTAGCAGGTGGAACGTTTTTCAATTTTTTCAGTCGTCGTTTTTATTTTAGCTCCGTTCCAAAACCTAAAAGAATCTACTAATTTTACAAGTTTTGCAACTTTTTACTCGAAAACCGTTCCTGAACCCATAAAACTGGTAAAGCATTGAATCAAATTTAAGAGAGCACAAAACAAAATGGCTTTCTCTTTGTAAACTTTTTGTTATGTTGATTTTGAAGTATTGCCATCTAATTTTGGCATATTTACTAGATTTGCGTTCCCGAATTTTTCAAATTATTTTGTACTCTGAGACTTGAAATGTTTCCCTTTTACTAGCTTTACTATTAAACAAGTGAAAAAGCGTTAAGTTCGGCCGGGCCGAACTTTGGATACCCTCCACCACAGGTATACTGACAGGTATTTGAAATGAAAAAGTGGACCGATATTTATATTTTTTAGTAGAGATATTTGGTACGCAATATGAACCCAATGTACAAAATTGCAGCGAATTCGGCTGAAAAGCGCGCTCAAGAACCCCAAAATACCGAAATTGGGGGGTACCCTTATATGGGGGATATCCGAAAAAATTGACCTATATTTAAATTTTTTGTGGAGAGATTTGGTACCTGCTAAGAACTCAAAATACTAAATTACAGCCAATTCGGTGAAAAATACGATAAAAACCCAAAAAAATACTGAAAATTAGGATGTACCGTTATATGGGGGCTGCAAGAAAAAGTGGACCTATATTTATAATTTTTTGTGGATACATTTACTACAAATTCGCTTGAAAAACGCGCTCAAGAACCCCAAAATACCGAAAATTGGGGGGTACCCTTATATGGGAGCTATGCCTAAACGTGGACCGATGGGATACTTCGAACTTGACCTGCCTGCAGACAAAAGACAACCCTATGCAAAATTTCAGCACCCTATCTCAATTCCTTCAGAAGATAGCGTGATTACAACAGCCGGACGGACATGGCTAGATCGTCTTAGAATTTTATCCTGATCAAGAATATATATACTTTATAGGGTCGGAAATGAATATTTCGATGAGTTACAAACGGAATGACAAAATTAATATACCCTCCATACTATGGTGGAGGGTATAAAAAGTACTGGAACAAACCATTTGTTGGCGAAGGTTTGCGTACGACGTCGCTTGAGTCTTGGCAGAACGACGATTAACAAGCGAATTTTATGAAGGCTGGAGTCTTGGAGGCTTCCCACTGTTCTTTTGAATCTCTCTCTCTCTCTCTCTTTTATTATTTTTTTTCGTTTTTCCATATATAGTTCCTTTGCTCCATATAGTTCCTTTGCTCTTTATAGTTCCTATGCTCCAAATAGTTCCTTTGCTCCATATAGTTCCTTTGCTCTTTATAGTTCCTTTGCTCCATACAGTTCCTTTGCTTCAAATAGTTCAAAAAAGGAACTGGATCAGAGAAAGGAATTATATTAACACTAGAAAGACGGGAATTTTGTATATACCTATATTGCCTAAAATCGGTCAAAATGACTTCATTCTGAAAAATTTTTTATTGTGTAAAGAAATTTTTTTAAACTATTTTTTTAATATTTGTTACATTATTTACAATCATACAAAACGTTGTTATTATCAGCCTTATTCTAGATGTCAATTCCATGTGAATTTACTCGCTCTTTCCCTTCGCCTTATTCTGAACAACATTTTCCAGTGAATTTTTTCGCATTCTCGCTTTCGCCTTATTCTGAATGAAGTTCGAAAGCGAAAAAATCCGCTTTGGCGAAAAATTAGGTATTCTGAATTACAGATGAGATGAAATTTTGTGCGAAATTTTTCGCTAATAAATTTAAGGGGAGTTGACTACAAAAACATAAGTAATAACTATTTTTATGAAAAATATTTACTCAATACTTATTCTATGACGATTTAGAATATTATAAATGATAGTAAGCACATTTTTAACTGGAAAACAGCCAATAAAATGCCATTGGAAATCCTATTGATAACGATGCATGCTGAACCAAGTATTGCCAAAGAATGTATGAAGGTAATAAGGAATATTTAAGTCGAGTTTGATGCATTTTGGAGGCGAAATACAGACATTTGTGTGAGGATCTGTCTCTCAAGAAAAACATTTTAAAAATTATGGAAAACCCAAATTTGCCTGATGAGCCGCTTAAGAGTGAAAAACTGATATAAAAATTATGAAAGAACAAAAAATATTTTTTTTTTTCAAAATTATCGTGTGCATGATTTGAAGGAACAAATAAAGGAGTAGCAGCAAATCATAACATAACTGACCACTTTAAGAATTTGGGGAGATAAAATATCAAAATTAAATAAAAAGGCACACAATTATGTAGTGAAATAATAAACTGCGAATTAATTAATTAAATCGCAGATTTCTTCCTATTATTCGTTGTGTTTTTGCCATCATAAAAAAATGTTCTTTTATTTGTAATCTATTGTAGTTGTTGCAACAAATTGCATCAAAACAATGAACAGCTGTTTCACATGCCATATTGTAGGTTGCCATATTTTCAAACTTTAATTTATTTTCTTTTAATTACAAAGCATTTATACAGCGGATTCTTGATATTTCGCATTTGTATTGCTATAAAGTTTAAATAACAATAAAAAGTAACAATTTTTAATAACAAAAATCAATAAATAATATATTGAAAAATATTACACAATTAAATTACAATGGGGCAACACACATTGCAACTTAAATTACAATATGGCCACACACAGCGCAACTTAATTTACGATATGGCAACACGAATCTTTTTTTCAACCACCATTTTCGAAAACTCGAATCTGCATCTCGCATTTTTTGCGTCTCCCTATTCATTCAGAATAAGGCGAGAATGTGAAAGCGAAAAATTTTTTATATGCGAGATATCTCCCAGCGAATATCCAGAATAAGGCTGTTGTTGTTGTTGTAACAGGTTGGCTGTTGACGAAAGTTCTTTCCTGAAAAATGTGATAGAAGAAAACGGAAGAAGGAAAAGGAAAATATATTAATTAATTAATTAGGAATTCGGATTTGAAGAGGGTAGCCGGAGAAATTGTGCCACCTCTAATGGCTTTAGCCATAAGTCTATGGGCAGTAGACTCGTAGGCTCGGACGGACAATTGAATAAATGGTGTGTGTCGTGAGGGCTTTGCTGGCAGGAGGGACACCTGTTTAGGGTTCCGGGGACAATGCGCTCTCGATACGAGTTGAGTACATTGCTGTATCCGGACCTTAGTTGTGCCAGAATTGAACGGGTTTGCCTAGGGAGAAGCCTCTCACTTTCCGAAATTGCAGGAGGATGTTGTTGTAGGACTTTATTGCATCTGTAGCCATTTATGGCATCGGAGACCGCCAGTTGATGCACGGATTTCATCGCATTCGCTATCGACAATCTGTTGACGTCCGATGGAATGACGTCTTGGATGTCATCACGATAGCGCCTGAAGTCCTGGCGGATGTGTCGCGGAGGTGGATCTGCCATCACAGTGTGATGGTTAGGATGACACGGCAGATAGCATGCCAGCAGGAACTGTCTAGTCAACAACACATTATGTTGCTTGACTGACAGCATCCTGGTCTCCTCATGGAGGTGATCGACGCTCGTCATCTGGACACACCCGGTTGCAATTCGGAGTGCATTATTTTGGGAAGTTTGCAATGATCTCCATTGTGTGTCGCTAAGAAAAGAAGTCCAGACTGGGGCAGCATAATTCAGGATGGAACGACCTATAGCCTTATAAGTCGTTACCAGCGTTTCTTTATCCTTGCCCCAGGAGGTGCCAGCCAAAGCTTTCAGAACTTTATTCCTAGCTTTCACCTTCTGGTTGATGTAATTGGAATGCGAGGAGAAATGAAGGAGGCTATCGAAGACCACCCCAAGGATTTTCGGATTATGGACGGTGGGGATGCGCCTACCTTCAACGGAAATGTCAAGTTCTAGATTGACTTCTCGCGTCCAGGAAGTGAAAAGTGACACGGTAGACTTTGCAGTGGATAATTTTAGATTGCGCTCCCGGAAGAAGTTGGTGATGGTGGCTAGATAGCTGGAAATTCTTGCACTTACGTCGTCAATGTTAACGCCGGACGAAATAATCGTACAGTCATCGGCGTACGACACCACTGAAACATCTGGTGGAGGAATGGGGAGTTTCGCAAGATACATGTTGAACAAAATGGGAGAAAGGACACCGCCTTGCGGTACTCCCATTTTGATCTTGCGATATTTGGATTTTTGGCCACGGAACTCAACGAAGGCCTGCCGTCCATTAAGGTAGTTGGCAAGCCAACGTTTGATATCACACGGAAGGGTGGAATTTGTGATATCGGAAATCAGCTCGGAATGATCGACCGTATCAAACGCCTTGGACAGATCTAGAGCTGCCACAATGGTCCGTTCAGGTGGTCGTCGCTGATTAAGGCCATTCGCAATCTTGGAAGTAATTTCTTGCAAAGCCGTTGTTGTGCTATATGATTCCCTGAAACCGTGTTGGTGGGGAGCAAGAACGAAATGCTGTTTCAGGGACGGAAGCAATAGAGACTCTAAAACCTTGGCTACTGGCGACAGCAGAGAAATCGGGCGGTAGGATTCCCCATTAGTAGCGGATTTATCAGGTTTTAGGATTGGAATAATCCGGGCAACTTTCCAAATGTCAGGAATTACCAACTGTGACATCGATAACTCGAGGACTTTGGTCAGATAGCCCAGCCCTATTGCTCCAAGCTTCTTTAACATGAACATGGATATGCCGTCTGGACCAAGGGCTTTGGATGGTTTGGATTTGGAGATAATTGCCTCTACCTCGCTGGATGTAAATGATAGTGGCTGCAAGTCTCTTTTAAGATTCTTGGATCTCCGGATAACTGCTCGCTTGGTCCTGTTCTGCGAAGATGGATGCTCAATGAATTGGCGGCAGAACTGCATTGCACATTTTTTGGCATCGGAATGTTGAATGTTATCGAAGGAAATAGCAGGGAGATTTTTATTTCTTTTGGAACCAGATAGACTCTTAATTGTGGACCATAGCTGCTTGGAATTAATGTTGCAGTGGTTAAGGTGTTCTAACCATTTAGAGCGCCTGTGCTCAAGGACTAGAGCATCTATCTCAGCGCTAAGCTGCGGAATTCTGTCGTCAGCGGGGCTTTCGGCACGGAGTTGGAGTTGTCGTTCCCACGACAATCGGATCTACGCTCCGGAACGACCCGAGTTCGACTCGGCCAGGGATTGTCAACCCAGCGACAGCTGTACAAAACGAATAAGGCTGTATTTGTTTTCGGTGGTAGGGCTCTCGGGTTTCCCCTTTTGAAAAATAAGAGCGCGGACAAAACGTTCGAAAAAAGAGGAAGACTTTACTCTAAGAGTGAAATCGACTGGAAATATAAATTTAATTTTTCCCGATTTGTGTGTTCGTATGTGTTTCTAGAGTAGCAAACGGGTTTCGATGTTGTTGTACCGATCTGGTCATATAAGAAATTTACTTTATACAGTAATAAAAGTAGTTTGATTATTTAATATTTCAAAAAGGTCAAAATGACCTTCTTCTTCTTCTTAGCTGGCTTGTTACAGAACGGTTGTTCCATAAGCCGAGCTTAAAAAAGATTTCCAAGCGCGTCGGTCTTGTGCGCAAATCCACCAATTTGGAAGACCACGTTCCAAGATGTTGTTTTCTACTTGGTCTTTCCATCTGATTCGTGACCGCTTTTAGGCTATTTAGGTATAGCACATGTGAATACGGGGAATGAAAGAGGGGAGGAAGCAGCTACTATGATTAATAAACGTAGTTCTATGTGGTAGAAAAAGTCACCAAATTTTAAAAAGCTGAGTCATAATATACACAATTGTTTTTGTACTTGAAATTTAAAAACCGTCAAAATGACTGCTCTCGGCAATCTAGTGTTAATTAAAGAACTGGAACTAGTTCCGTTCGTTCCTTTCTCGGAATAGTTCCAATGAACTAGTTCGTTCCGGAACTACCCAACTCTAGGAAACACATTTGTAATCTAATCTACAAAAATACCCCAGAAATAAAATTATACCCGTGAAAGTGGCAACATAGACTTCGTGTCTCATGTCACTTTAAATTCTACCCCATTATGGTGGAATTGACATATGGTAACATATGTTGGAAGAAGAAGAAGAAGAAACACATTTGTTTACAATTCTGCTGCTCTTTGGAAAAATAAAAATTATTTCATATATTTAAAGAAACACATACCAAAATAATGTCATCTTCAGTACATTGCCAATTATGGATGGGCAGCGTAAGTAATTCATACGATTTTGCAATTTAAAATGTAATTTTTCATTATGTCTATTTTTCAGTTGGAACCATATATGACGGAAAATTTCGTCATAGCTGCGTTTCGAAAAATGGGTGAAGATCCAACGACCGTGCGTTTGATGCGTAACAAATATACGGGAGAACCTGCTGGTTATTGTTTTGTTAATTTTGCCACCGATGAAAAAGCCATGGATGCAATGCATAAATTAAATGGTAAACCCATTCCGGGTACAAATCCCATTGTACGTTTCCGACTGAACAGTGCCAGCAATTCATATAAAATGCCTGGTAACGAGAAGGAGTTTAGTGTTTGGGTTGGTGATCTCAGTTCCGATGTTGATGATTATCAGCTATATAAGGCATTCTCATCAAAATATACATCGATTAAAACGGCTAAGGTGATTATAGATAGTTCGGGATTTTCCAAAGGTTATGGTTTTGTGCGATTTGGCATTGAAGATGAACAGCAATCGGCGCTGTATGAAATGAATGGTTATATTGGTTTGGGTAGTAAACCATTGAAAATTTGTAATGCTGTACCCAAGCCAAAGGGTGAATTGGGTGCAGCTTTGGGTACTTCGAATAGTAATTATGGCTATGGCGGTGCGGGACCAACAACAACCAGCAGTGCAACGGCTAGCTCAGATTATACACAATATTATGATCCAAGTTCAACATATTGGCAGGGTATGATGGGCGTCATGAATGAAATGATCTATGCTAAAATAGTAATTTTTGTATAATTTCAGGTTACAATGCCTGGCAAAATTATTATGATGCTAGTGCGGCAGCCACCGACCCCACAAGTGCATATTATCAACAATCGATGGTACAATCGCATACAAATACCCAAACATTGGCCCAACATGCTGAGGCCTGGAGTGCCCAACGTAATGCCCAATATGAACAACAAAATGCCGTCGCCGCTGCCAATGGTGCGGCCGATGAAGAGGATGATAGCTATGCCTTGGTTGAACATAAATTCACATTGGATATTGATAAAATGAATCGTGAAGCACTCGATTCAGATCGTAATTTATATGATGCTTTGGAGAGTTCCAAATGGTTGCCGTTGGAGCAATTGGAAGCATATTAGCATGTGGGTTATATTTCTTTTCACACAGGAAATTATGTTAATTTTTATAAGATATTCTTATATATATTAAATAAAAAAATTAATACAAAATTATTTCACATTTAATCAATTATTTTTATTTTGAGCAAATGACGACAAGCTTTAACCGTTAACAAACAGCCTTTACAATACTATAAAAAAAGCAGACGTGATTTTAAAATATGAGAATTTTAATTGAAAATTCATAGGAATATTTGGTTCTGGAATATGGGGTCAGGAATATTCTTGGAATGTCTTGCCCGTTTGTCATGTATATTTGTGCACATAAATTATATCATCTACAGCCTTATAATAAACATCAATTGTATATAGGAAATGAAGCCTTGTCTGCTTCTCGATTTCTATCTTTTCATCTAAATTTCTTTAAAATAGATCATAAAAATAGTCTAAACCTTGCCCAAGTTCCCATATAGATATACCAGTACCTAATTCCTGAGCTAGCTTAAGGCGTTCGTTTATAGAGTAGAGGGTGGGATAAAACACATAATGGCGGCCACTACTTGTCCTGAAAAACACACATATTTTTAAACATGTACAAATTAAAAAAAAAAAAAATAGTTTTCTTTGCTCACTTCACTTCAAAGAAATTCTCCACATCCCGTTCGTCATATGTCAAACGTTTCTTTAGATGTTTGAGCAATGACAAATATTCCCCAGCCACAATAGGACCACCACCATCGGGTGTATAATCATTGCCATACATATTCATGCCCATTAAGATTTTCATACGTTTCTCTGCGATGTCTACACCTTTCGCTGTTGGTGTTATATGTTCAATAGAACGTCTAATCCAATATAACGGTGAATTAGCACCCGGTCTTTGGACATTTGAAAAATCATATGTCATTAGAGAAAATTTATAAATATGTTTATACAACTGATCAAAATGTTGATGGGTAAATATATTTGCAGTTTGTTGTCGATAGGGTGGTATTACCAAAATTAATTTCAGATCTCTAGCCTTTAATTCGTTGCTAAGATCAATGGCAAGCTTGATAAGAAATTGCTCATTAACACGTCCAGCCAATTGTAGCCAATACTCAAGAACTACACCATCGAAACCGTGATCAATACACAAGCTTATTATGACTTCGGCTAATTTAATTTTTTCCTTTTCCGATGACAACAATTTGGTGTAGTCTTCATTGCGGAAGTTCTCGAAAAGTATACGGGGAAAAACTAAAAGAATTAACAAATATTTTCTTATATTAATTATAATTTTTTTGCACAGGCCTACTCACATTCTGTTGTTCTGCTGGCCGCTCCACTTCGTGACTTATCCTTGACTGATTTTATCCAACGGCTATCAATATCATGTTTACCTTGGATCACATAATTCCCAGCCTGTTTGACTATTTGGAACCACACAGGAGATATGATATCCAATTTGGGTGCAAATATTTTTGCAACATCATAACCATGGGAATTCCACTGGAAAATTCCATTCGATTTATTTTAAAATTAAATTGAAAACAAAAATGTATTTGTGTATGGACCTACCGGTGTCACAAACCCCAAAACAGTTCCATTGAAATTCTTTAAACTGGTATCCCGGAAATATGCTCCACAATTAAGTAGTATCTCTTTGGAGGTGGGTTCGGGTTGTATTAAATCCAACTCGAAAACACTTTCATCCCTCGGACCGGTTTTGGGTTTAGGCTGTGATTTTTTGCCGGGTGTAATGGTGCATTGCACCATTGTTATGCAAACAATTATAAGTATAATACATTTTGGAAGTCCTTGAAATGGTGTGGACATATTTTTCTGCTATGAAACTAGGGTTTAACTATGAATTCCATGTACACGACATATAGATGAGATTTCTTATGAATTGTTTTTGTTTATTTTTGCCGTACAACTAGTTCAATGAAAGTATTCACATTAAGGGAAAGAATGTGAACTAGTTGTGTAAGTCTGTTAACCATTCACTACGCAAGTCTTAACGTTAAGAAAAAGAAGAAGATGACTTGATTTATTAGACGTTGGGAAAATGGGCTTGGATACTGGATTTTGAATTTAAATTCGAGTATTCAAATGAAATAATTGTTCTATTTCTGATGATGCAAGAATTTCATGATTTTATGGGCACACCCACATAAACATGGTTGAGTAATAATAATTAATATTCAAATTTTTCTGTCGGAAGCATAGCTATCGGACGCGGGTCCATATATTGCGATAGTGAGAAACCCAACAGTAAAGGAAATTATAGAGTGGTACTGAACCTTGGACGGCTGAGGCGAATATTGGCGCTTCTAAATTAACCAGTATTCCTAGTCTTCCTACCTTGAAGGATGGCCAACACAGAGGTTTTATATGGTATCACACATTTCAGTAATCATAGTACTCCCACCCTGAAGGATGACTCCCTAACACGAATGTTAAATGTTGTCTCATACACATCAGTGTTTAATAATTTACTACTGCATTCGAACCCTGGTTAATGATTGGGCGCCAGGTTGTTATTTGGACGTTTCAAATATTATTAGAATTATTTACCAAGTCCCACATTGCGTCTTCCAATAATGAATTTTAAAACTTAAAAATTTCAAGAAAGCGTATCGGAGGACAATCCGCTAATGCCAAATCCCCAATAAAACTGAGGTCACGAATTTCTTCTGTTTAAGAAACACCTAAAGGTTGTAAATACGTACCTGACTACGCTCACAAGGTCATTAGGGAACATCTAATTGAAGACTTCGAACACATCTAATACAGTGACTTCCCCAGTCTCTTCCTTGTGGAAGTCATCCCACTTATTCACCAGCAGTGTCGTTTTCTACAGATCAAATACTTTGGGCAGGCGTTCTGTGGCGAACTCGCTGCAACAACTTCTGACGAAGAACGTTGAGGAATGTCTCTTTTCCTCACCAGCTTGAGTTTGATTATCTCGCTTAAGGATTCAATGCTTGTCACTAGCTTTTTCATGGCTTAGGTTAGGTTGAAAAGAGGGGTGGATGATATCACCATATGTCCAACATGAGAAGGACATACACATAAGCCAACTGAGGCCTTTTGTGCACTCTAGAATGCGGAGAATGTTAGAATTAGTGAAAGTTTAGATAAAAAACATTTGGGTTTGATTCCCCTATGAATCTAGGCATTCCGTGTTTTTTGAGAACTCCTTCAGTCTTCTCCATTCACACCCTCTCAGATCGGTTAGTCCGTAAAGAGTGTCATTTCCCAAGAATTGTTTCCGAGGGCAAGTAAATGCTGGGCAATGGCACAGGAAATGTTCCAGCGTTGCACTGTCTTCCCCACTCGCTCTGCACATGTTGCTATATTCGCATCCAATCTTGATGTGCCTTCAGGCTGAGGTATCACGTCAGAATACCCGTCAGTCGACTTATTACTTTTATGTTTAGCTTTAGGATTTGCTTAGTTTTGTCTTCACTTGCGTCACGCCATAAGATTTTGGTGATCATTCCTTTTCCCTCATTTTCCCAAAGGGTTTTGTGGGTCTCCATTGCCCATTTCGTCATTTCTTGGCGTGTTTCGTTAAAGCATTTGGCGGTATTCACATTTATTGTGTTAGTAAAGTAGCACTCTTAGCTAGTTGATTTGCTATATCGTTGCATATGATTCCTTGGTGATTCGTTACCCATATAATTCGTAAAGGTCCTTGCTGTGATAAACCATTAATGGTTTTTATAGATTCCAATACAGTTTTGGAAGATATTGCCTATATAGGACGTTTGCTATCCGTAATAATATTTATTTATTTTGCCCTTGGTTTGAATTTAACCAGTTAAGACACTCTGTTATAGTTTGAACATCCGCCTGTAACATCGTGCTGTGATCTGTAAGGCGAAGAGAAATTTCGGTACCTGGTTCTTCGATAAAAAGTCCAAATCCATTTTTTCCTCCTAGTCGAGAGCAACAGTTACCAGGCGGCATCTGAACTAGTGTTCCACTATTCCATTGTTCTCTATCTGGTATTATAGTTTCGCACCGTGTTAATACTCTCGTTTCAGACCGCATGAATCAAAGGTATTGATTGTTGACTCAGCAGTTGCCTGTAATGTGTTTGTGTGTGGTATGTTTCGTCCGGTGTCTATCCACTCGTCCATTGCTTTAAGTCTTAAAGTTGCAACTTCATATTTTATTTCGGTGTCTATTAGATGTATATAAAATATTGCCCATGATTAAGACGTTATCCCGTCCTGTCGCTTTCAATGGTGCCATGACATCGTTCATTGTTGATGGGAAGTGAGCATTCATTAGGAACCTTAGTGTTTCCTCGATTGTTTCTATCCTTTTACCCTCACCGTCTACAATAGTTTCGGGTTGGGTGTGGGACGTGGATAGAAACTTCTTGATTTTTGAAACGTCGTTCTCAGGGCTGAGTTGAGGCTGATTTTTAGATAGAAGAAATTGTTCATGATTTTCAAAATAAACAATAGACCAATATATGTATATATATTTTTTGAACACAAAGAATAAATTTGTTGTTTTCGTTTATTATGAATTTGTTGTTGTTGTGTTTCGTAGTTGTTTTTGTTGTTTTTAATATTTATATAAATAATGCATATATATGCGCACAATAGATTCCGATCAATAAATATGATCCAAATATTATACAAAAAAAGGTATAGATATTTATAGGAAGGAAACTTAAAACATACTTGAGAGAGATAGATGATCATAACAATAATAATAATATATGGATTTATGATTTATAATAATTAATATAAAATATAATATAATTATACTTTATTATAATACAATATTTAAATAAAAAGTTCATTTTATATGAATGAAATTATGAAATTATACTTAAAATGAAATTATACTTAAAAAAATTAAATCTTATAAATTAATTTGTTTTTTTTTTAATTTCTTTTTTCTTTCTTTCATTAAACTAAATAAAAACATTTGTTGTTGTTTTTTGTTTGTTTATAAGACAAAATTATTGTTAATGGTACAATACAAATTGTGTACATTCCTAAATAAAAAAATATATAAATTAAACCACCCGCACACGATGGAGCTTGGCAAAAATAAAAGGGTGTAATTAAAAAAAGACAACTCAATTATATATCCGCTTATTTAAAATAGAAAAAAAGAAGACTTGTAGTCTTTCATATTTTAAATTATATTGTATACAATAAATGATAAATAGTTATTTTATTATTTTTCATATTTGTTGTTAAATTAGAAATAATCAGTATTTTTTTGTATTAAGGCAGATAGTGTAAGTGAAAGAAGGGAGTTCCGTTTGTATTTAAAAATGATCTGTTATTTCATAGTTTGTATATTATTGAACGCTGGAATTGAGAAAAAATGAATTTTAAATATATATTTTTTTAATTTTTCAAAAAGAAAAAAATTTAATTTCATTAATTTTAACGTAACGTTGGTTTTTTCTTTATATTTCAAATATTTTGTTTTCTTTAGTTGTTGTTGTTGTTTATATTTTACTAAAAGAAAAGATGTTCCAGTATTTAATAATATTTAGCAAAAAACAAATAAAATCAACTTGTCATAAGCATAACAAAAAATGTATTAATTTAAAATAGAGAAGAAGAAGAGAGTTGGGAGTAGTTAGAGATGACAAAAAAGTTCCTTTAATTTGCTTTTATAGTTTTTTTCTTCAACTTTTTTTTCAAATCTATGCAACTATCTGATAAGGAGCATGTCTATTATTCTTTTGTTGTTGATGCTGCTGGTGGTGTTGTTGTTGCTTTTGTGTCATATTCAATAATTTACGTCTACGTTCATAGAAACGACTGACACGATTTAGGCGAGCCTGTTTCTCTGCAGCCACCTCAGAATTAATATCTAAATTAGGATTTGTTGTTGTATCATTACAACTTACAGAGGAGCCCGCGGCATTAGAAGAAGCAGAGGATGATGATGAGTTGTTGCTGTTGCTGCTACTACTACTTGTTGGCTTTTTGCCATTAAGTATATCAGTCAATTTTTTCACTGTATATTGTTGTTGTTGGGATGATGATGATGTTTTGAAATCATGAACCCTTGCAATGAGACTACGTTTAATAAATTTCAAATTTCTTTCAGAACTAATGGCTGCCGCCGAACTGCTAACAATTATGGTCTTGGCATTATAGGGACAAACACCAGACGCAGTGGCTGAGTTAGTCAGGCGATTATTTAAAGATTTATTTTTCAAACTTCCTGATGTTGTTGAGTTGGAGGAGGATGATGAAGAGGCTGCTACTGCTGAGGCAGCTGATGATGTTGAATTTGTATTTTGTTTATTACTATTTGCTATTTGCTGCAGATGATTAGAGCTATTGGAGGCGTTAGATTGAGTATTGTTGGCAAAAAATCCAGGAACTTGTTGTTGTTGCTGTTGTTTGTTGGCAGCAAAACGTGCAGCAGCAGCAGCGGCTGTTGTTACGGCTCCTGCTGTACCATTTAGCAAGACACCACCCCCTGCTGCCCCGCCCAATACTGCCATTAGACTATTATTATTGGCCTTACGTGTGGTTAGTAAATGTTTACGAAATGTCGTGGCCATATCCTGAGGTAGCTTAATTAGACCAAAGCTATTAATGGCCATAGGTCTGGGTATACCCGCATAAAAGAACACATTATAATAGAAGTCTTCATTGTTGTGGTGATGATGATGATAACGCAACAACGACGACGAGGACGTTTGACCGCCGTCTCGTTCATTTTTAAGGTTTTCATTTTTAATGGTAGACGATGAGGAGGAGGTGGAGGAGGAGCTGGAACTACTACTGCCAAGAGATTTAACGGTCTCAATTAAATTGTAATCAAATTCCAAGAGGTCATCGAATAACATTTCGGACGTTTTGTTTATGTTATTATTAAAGCCATTGGTGTTGTGTTGTTGTTCTTGTAAAATTAGGGTAGCAGTAGCCTGTTGTTGCTGTAACTGCTGCTGCTGCTCATAGCTGTTGGCAGCCTGATTTAAAAATTCCGCCAACACTTGTTGTTGCTGCTGTTGGCTCATATCTGCAGCACCTACCACACCACCATTATTATTTGTTGTTGTTATGGCATAAATCAACTGCTCTTCATCGCCCTGGATGCCCTGAACACCACCGCCACCAGGCATAACATATTGCCGTTCCACAATATGATGTGTCGTCACCTGCTGAGGATTAACAACCGCAGCAGCTGTCGTTGTTGCTGTCACATCCATATCATCCGTCAACGAAGGAACATTAAATAATTGAAATTGCTGGCTAACATCCACCTCGTCGGCTAGATTTACAAAATCTCCGCCAGCAGTTTTGACCAAATCAGTGGTTGCCTGTTGTTGACCAGCAGTATTTGAACATAATTCCAATATTTGTTTAGTATCCACCATGGTGGTGGTGTTGGGGCCGCCATTGTGCTGCTCATACATTTGCGGGTGTTGAGGAACTGTTGTAATATTGAGGGTATTTATCATAGAACCACCGGCCGTTACATAGCCACCTGATGCGTCTAGAGATTGTTGCTGTTGTTGCTGCTGCTGCTGGTATAACAATTGCAATTGCATGGGATCAATAGTGGTTTGCTGATACTGGCCAGCATCCAAAGTCATGGTATTCCCACCTGGACCCACCATTACATTGGCATCATATTGATGATTAAATTGTGTTGGATTTGGATGTTGATGCAGGTGTTGTTGTTGCTGCTGCTGGGGAAATACAGAAAAATCGTTAATTTCTTGGCCCGTAACCACTGTAGCTGACATTTGCTGATGCTGTTGATTGAGATCAGTGGAGGCATCATCATAGCGCATACGCTTCGTTAATGGCTGTTCCATATAAACAGCCTGCTGCTGTTGCTGCTGCTGCAGTATCATTTGGCCTTGAGCCCCCACCGCCGCCGTACCATTACCGGCGGCAGCAGCATTTGCCTCATTTAAAACATTCTCAAAATTAATTTCAGTTTCTGTTTCGGCATTTAGAATTTCGTTTATTAGTTTACAATCAAGCATTGATTCCAATACATGATTAAGCATGGCACTATCATCGGAGGAGTTGTGGACCATTTGACCATCATCGGAGGTGTTCATTGCAGTTTGTTGCATGACAATTTCCTGTTGGGCTGCTGCTGCCGACGAGTGTTGTGTTGCTACAGAGGAGGATGGATGTTGTGGCTGGCCTGTAATGCCACCCATTAGTTGTTGACATTCATCCGAGGTGTTGTTGCCCATACCGGCACTACTACCATTGGGGGTCTCCAATTTAATTGTCATATTGTTGGCATCCAGGGGAGATTGGTTTAGCGTTCCACCACCACCATTTATCTTATTCTCCGAAGCAGCAACATCTGTGGATTGATGTATGGCCGTCGATGTCGATACTCCACCACCAGCAGCACAGCTGGTAATTGAAGATACCGCCTGATTTAGTTCACTAATTTGAGCTTCATATTGCTGGAGCTGGCCGCCGCCACCGGTCCCACTTTGCTGCATCATTGCCATCGGTTTAGAGCTATCATTTGCCGCCGCTTCCACCATCATACCACCACCAGCCTCACTGAGATTAAATGTGGCGGGACTTTTCACCTGTAATTTCAAAAAAGAAAAATATCGAATTGTAAACAAATAACCACATTGGCCAATGTTGTCATCAGAATATCCTACCTTTTTCTTATCAAATTGTTGTTTCGTATCCTTGGAGGTTTCTAAAACCTTGGGCGATAATGATGCCGGGGGTGAGGCTTCGGCAATACTAGCCAATACACCGGATGGTGGTGTTCCATTATCTTGGAGATTGGCTGTCATCATTTTCGGTGTCGGTGGCAATGAATACGAAGAATTCGATGAGGATGATGACGAAGAAGATGAGGAGGAGGAAGAGGACGACGACGAAGAAGAAGAGGAGGAGGATGATGAAGAAGATGATGAACCAAAAAGAGCAACATTTCGATTACTGGAGGAGGCTGCGGCAGCTTGTGAAGCTTCTAAAGTTGTTGGCAATGAAGTTGTTGCTGTTGTTGATGATGAAACTGAGGGTATAGATGATTTAGGTAACGAAGTTGTTGCATTAGGATTATTATTAGTATTGTTGTTATTGGCCGGACTTCCAGCAACCGTTAACAGTTTGACATCAACATTTTCTTTTGGAGAAGCAGCCACAACAGCGGCGGCAGCAACAGTGGATGATGAACTAGCCGATGAGGAACTCCTTTTGGAGGAGCTCTTTTTACTTGGTGTTTGTGTAGATGTTACGGGAGTTGTGGCACGCGAAGATGTATGCGACGTTTCCGACGACCCTGATGCAGCTGCTGCCGATGCCGCAGCTGCTGAGGAAGAGCTATGATGTTTGCTTTTACTTCGTGAACGTCCACCAGAATTACTCCCCGACCGTGAACCACTTTTCTGGCGTGAACTTGTCGTTGTTGTGGACGGCGTCGTCGTCGCCGCCGCCGACGTCTGATGATTCGTAACAGCTGCCGATGATGTCGTCGATATGGAACTGGACGAAGCATTTGAACACGTTGAAATTGTCCCCGATAAATCCGATGGCGAATTTGTTAGTTCGGCAGCCACCACGCCAGAAATGCCACTATTCGAGTTACTTTCACTATTACCCCCCTTAATACTATCCTGGCTATTGTCATTGGTGCCAAAACTGGTCTCACTTGCTGGCGGTGTAAATTTGGCCGATGTACTTGCCCAAACGGTTGGATGATGGGTCATAACGTGTTGATTGAAACCCACTTTTGTATAGATACCCATGCAGACGTTGCACACAACGACGCCCATTGCCGTCTGTTTGGGTACAATACCATAATAATGCATATCGGTACCACTCAGTCTTTGGACCTGGCGCAGCAGTTGTTTGCGTGATTTGCCAGGTGGTGAATTGCCGCCACCACCACCTCCATTATTTGAACTTTTGTTATGGGAGTTATTGTCGCTGGCATTTGGCGATCCCTTGCCCTTAATGTGGATTTTTTCAGCCATACGAATCTGCTTCAGTACCTTTTCCACGTCGAAAAGTTGTGACCATTTTTGTCCTTGATATTTTGCCAGTGGATGATTAAATGTGGTCGCCGCCGCCGCCGTTGTGTTGGATACTCCACCATCTTGATTTTCGCCCGATTGCGAATTGGATGATTGTTTTGAATTTGTATTCATAGCTGTTGTTGTTTTGTGGTTGTCGTTTTGAGTTCTATAATTTACACAAGTTTCTGTTTACGTAGAATTTCAAAGATATGAAGATGGAGGAGGAGTAGGAGGTGCGACAAGTAAAAAATTAACGCCATCCACCACTCTATGGCATATCAATATCCATATGTATATATGCGGACAAATCCGTCGGTGTGTGATCAGAACGATCCAAGTTGTGAGATTTCAACCAACAACACACAAGATATAATTTTAGGAGTACTTGTGTCTTGTGAAGAAGATTTCAAACAAATACCCTACAAAATAACATTTTGGTTATAATAATAGTACTAAAGAAGAAACAAATAGATAGATAGAAGGATATTTTTCTTAAATACGAGGGCAGTTCGGAAAGTTCTTAGCCTAGCACAAAAAGCGCGGCATAGACAGAAAAAAGTTAAGTGTTTTGGAAACATCCATCTCTGTTATGAACACATGTTTTGTTTTGATCTGGCAACTCCTTCATATAGAAAAAGGTGTTAAAAAAAGAGGCATCTTGGTGGTGGCGCTGTTAATAATCGACCATCGGGAGGCGTGCCAATAACTTAAAACCAAAAAAAGAGGCATCCGCAATATTTTTACAATGAAAGCACACATTTCTAATTTTTTCCATTGTTAAAAACCCGAACTCGTACACATATTTTGAAGCATACACATGCTTGATAATCTAATCCTGCAGTGACCTGTTATGATCCCCACAATGATTTTGATCACTCTCTTATTATGTGCCAAGATGTGAGATTCTGCAACCAGGTTCTCTCGACCATCTGTTACCGACTACCTCGCCGTAGAACAAGCGAATTTTGCCAATGAAAAAGCCAATGGGTGGATGCACAGATCTCTCAATCGGAAGATTGGACGATTGTAAGCCCCCTCGAGCAAGCTCGTCGCCTATCTCGTTCCCTTCTATGTCACTATGTCCTGGAACGCAACATAAGTTAACTATCCGTCGTATATCATGCAGAGCGGACTTGCAATCAAGAACTGCTTTTGAGTTAATACTGCACGACTTCAAAGCCTTGAGGGCCGCCTGACTATCGACACTAGAGTCACCGGTCTCGTATTATCGGCAGTAAGTGTTTTGACTATCTCGGCCGCTTTCGTAATTGCAAGGATTTCTGCTTGAAAAACGCAACAAAGATTTTTAAGTTTATATGATTTGTATATTTCTAATTCTCTACAGTAAACGTCTGTACCAGTGCGTTTGTGAAAAATGACAGACCTGTCAGAGGTAAGGAGCCACTAGTTCAGGATTTCCTACTTTGAGGTCATTAAAATCTCTTCATAACATTTTCAACAATTGTTTATAGGGATGGCTGTATGGAAAACTGAGGAAATAGCAGGACGGATTTGTCTAATGAACTTAATTGGTATAACTACCGGCGTTAGATTTAATAGAGACAATGATTGAAAGTTCGTACTCAGAAATTAATCGAAAGGAAAAAGCATCGGGATCTTCAACCAAGCTATCGAAGTCAAAGGAAACATCAGAGGAACTCATATTGCTGAAAAAGTCATTCGCAATAGCTTTTACATCACTTTCTTCAATATCCACATTTTCACGATCAATGTAAGCTAACTGACGAACTTTCTTCCACATTTGTGGACCACTAACATCTGTAAAATATGAATTGACAAATTGAAAAAGTTTCTTCCGAATTGTGGACTTTGCTTTATTTCTTAAACGTTTATAAGCCTTCCAATGTTCATCACTTGGGTTTCTAATAAAGGTAGAATAGGATCTATCCCTATCTTTTCTAGCTTGTCTAATTTCACTCGACTTCATCCAAGAGTGATCCTTAGTATTTGCTTTAACTCTTGCTGTTGTATTATTCCGTCCATATAACTGTAATTAAATAAAATATGTATGTGACTATTCTATAAATATTAATATGTATTTTTAAAAAGGCTAATTTTCATAATAAAATATTTTTTTAAATATCTGACAATAACTAATCAAAAACAACCTGACAAATAAAAAAAATCTCCACATCAACGCCATCTATCGTATAAATCAATGCGGTTAAATGTCAAAGTAAATGTTGCAAACGAACTGTCATTTGGGCACACACCCTGGCAAAAAACGTGATCAGCTGTTTGCCAAACAGCTTGACAGCTGTCCACTGGAAATGGGAATTTGTGTATGCTGACGGATAAAAGGCACTCGTGTGGAATCGTATGCTATCGCGAGCGAGCGTGGAGGTTGGTTTCTCATGCATTCTTTCTGTTTGTTCTGTTGTTGGTGTCTTTCATCAGCCTGCCAGCTTTTGTGTGTTGTTTAAATACTAGTGTTTTTCGCTGACAATGCGCAGTTGTTAACAAGTACTCACTTTTCATCACCTTACACAGATAGAGCTCCTCCGATAGATATTGATTGTGCCCACGTAGGGAATAAAACATAATTCGTTCTTTTTTTATTATTTTGTTTTTTTTTTCTTGGTTTTTGTTGCAAATTTTTGTTGTGTGTTTAGTCGTTTTTTTACATTTCTAATTATGAGCCGAATCACATTTGGGTTTTCATATTTTTTTCTTCAATACTGGTCACTAGGCGTTTTCGCATTACTATTACTACTACGAATTTCAGACGAGAAGAAGAATTCTTTTCATCTCCATAGGGTTTTTTTCTTTCTTTCCGTACAAGAACAATGACGACAACTAACCAACCGAGCCGATGTTTTTTTTTTCTTTTTTGCTTCGTTGCTTTTATGGCTGCAGCAGCAGCACCACCAGAAAATGGGTTTTTTCACAAAGATTAATTGGCTTACCACATTCCAAATTGATTCAGACGAGTAGCTGGGTAGGCTCGGTATCTTTTGATCCCATTGTCGCCTTTGTTTTGTATGGAGAACAGAATGCAATTTCAGTCGCAATTGCCGTAAAACTGAGAATTTGCGATTTTTATTTTGTTTTGTAGCCGTCTGAAATAGGGATAAGTAAATCGACTTTTGACAAATCGATTAATCGACTTTTCATCTTTGATTAAATCACCAAGTCGACTTTCGATTTTCTTCATAAATACTTGTTTTATTAGCACAAAACCCAAATTACTTAAAAATTACATATTCTGGAACTTTATGTTATTTGTGGGACAGCAATTCGTATAAAGAAAATCGAATTTCCGAATCGATTTTGCTTTAGTCGGTAAAAGTATAATATCGATTTTTATGTTTTAGGGAAATTTTTAAGAAAGTAATCGGTTTAGTTTGTAGGCAATGGGAAAAAGTAAGCCCATATTAAAAGCGTTCCCAACACGGCAGGGTAGATTTAATAAGGTAGCCAGGGTAACTTGTTATGTTGTTGTTGTAGCAACTGTCTACATGTTTGTTGTATTTAAATTATTCTGGTTCTGACTCCTCTGTTTCCAGGTTCAGGAAGGTTGCAATCTGTAACGGCTGCGTTCAAAGAGATTCCGGAGACCGATGAGTAGGTTTAGCAGGGCAGTTAAAGAGATGCAGCGTATCGTGAGGTCCAAGTCCACATGCAGGGCATGTGTTTGGTACCGCGCTGTCAATTCGGGCCCAATACGAATTGAGACGGCTGCACCATCCTGATCTTAGTTGGGCTAAAACCACTCTCGTTTGTCTAGGCAGCTGTCGATCTGCTGTTGTTATAGGTGGTGGGTGGACTCCTAGTACTGCATTCACGTGGTATTGGTCCATTGCTGGGATCACTGCTTCCGTGTTAATGCTGGTAATTCCTGCTCGATAAGCCTCTTGATCTAGGTGTTCTCTTTTGTACCGTTGGACCTCTCTCTCTAGATCATGTAGGTCTCTCCTTACATGCCCGGGTGGGGGAATTCTATCCATAAGATTATTTCATGGATGATTCCTGATAACACCCAAACAGGAACTGCATCGACAACATCCGGTTGTGACGATGTACGGGTAAGACCATTGCCTCCTCATGTAAATGGTCCACTGGCGTCATAAGGAGGCACCCTGTCGCAGTTCTCAGGGCGGCATTCTGACAGGTTTAAATGTTCTTTCACTGCGCTTACATTCGCGTACCACACTGGCGCCGGATAGCTTACCACCGACCGATCTATTGCTTTATAAGAGGTCAACAAGGTCTCTTTATCAGCCCCCCAATCGGCTTGAGGACCTTATTCCTGCTTCTCATCTTATCGCAAATAGCGGTGGCTTGCGCGGACGACTTAAATAGGCTATCGAACGCTACACCCAAAATTTTGGGGTAGTTTGTGGTAGGAAATTTTGCACCATCGACAATGATGTTCAGTGGGAGCTTCATTTCAACCGTACATGTGGTGAAAAGAGTGGCTGTGGATTTGGCGGCGGATATCTTCATATTTCTCAGATGAAAGAACTGTACTAAATCAGCTATGTAGACATTTAATCTTTCACAGATGTCATCGATAATAGGGTCCGACGCCATGATTGTACAATCATCCGCATACATTAGGATCTCTATGCCGTCCGGTGGCTGTGGAATTTCAGAAAGGTAAATGTTAAATAGTTCCGGATATATGACCCTACCTTGGGGCAACTCCCTGATTCACTCTAGGGGGTTTAGACTTCTTGTTTCTGAATTCGACATATGACTGTCGACCACACATGTAATTGATTATCAAATGTTTCAAACTTGGCCGGATGCTGGTCTTCTCTATGTCCTCGAACAGCTTGGCGTGATTGACAGTATCGAAGGCTTTCGATAAGTCAAGAGCCACCAAGACTGCCTGGTTAAGTCCCCTGCTTACGTGTGTGGTTATGGCGAGTAATGCTGTAGTTGTGCTGTGCATCCTCCGGAATCCATGTTGATGTTGAGGGACTGGAAACCTACTTCTCATCAGAGGGAGGAGTATTGACTCACGCGTCTTTGCTACTGGAGACAGAAGGGAAATCGGCCTGTACGATTCACCTCTGCTGGCATTCTTGCCTGGCTTCAGTAGCGGGACCACCCTGCCTATTTTCCAGGCTTCAAGAACAATGTGGGTGGCTAACGACAGGTTGAGAACATCAGTTAAGTACTCCACTCCAGGTTCATCCATTTGCTTCAGCATTATCATTGAGATTCCATCCGTGCCCAACGCTTTGGATGATTTAGCGTTTCGAATGACATCTGCAACACCATCCTTCGAAAATTTTGGTGGTACCTCCTCGGCTCGGAGGGCTCTAATACGACGAAGCATACTCCTTTTCGCCGTGTCACTCTCGGGTGCCGGTTAAAAAAACTCGCGCACCTCTTCGGATCAGTCAGCGTTACGTCGTTAAACGTGCCAGCCGTTCTATCATCCTTCCTTCCGGGATTCGAGAGTGACATAACCGTTGCCCACAATTTACTTGTTGCGGCTAAAATGTTGCAGAGCTTCAGGTGGTCTAGCCACTTTTTCCGCTTGCGCTCTCATACTAATCTGTTGACTTCTACTACATCTGTTGTTGGGGATGTTAGCTGTTAAAAATGAAAAAAAAACCGCGAAGAACCGTTGAACGAATATGAGGCGCAAATTTTTTCAAGCGAAAAATCATTAGAATTCTATTTTTTTCACATTCATAATTGAACATGTGAAAATGGTCTGGCATGAGCCCGATGAAATTATTTTAGAAAATGGGTACACATACCCTTTACCCCCACACGATTCAAGGTCCAATCACTGTGAAACTCGAGAAAAAATTAGCCAAAAGGCAAAAAAGGATGCTGAAAGAAAGCCCCGAAGGTCAGGGCAATAACAGACATCGCAGCTCATAGTGTTAAGGTCATGTCAGCAGACACCGGCATTCCCGATACTCAAACAAATTCAGAATTAATCAATAATATTTCGGAGTCCAATGCAACTCAATTCGAGTTTGATATAAACTCGCTGTGCAACTCCACAACAATTGAAAATACACAGATTAATCCACTTCCGAACTACATTGATAACAACAAATCCCAACAATTTATACTACATCTGAACTTAACTCAAATCATCCATCCATAACCTCCGATAGTGGCATCAATACACCTTTACATCTTTTTGAAGCATTTAAAAAATAAAACATGAAACGTCTTGATGACCATGAAAATTCTTCAAATAAATTTAAGAAGCATTAGAAATAAAAAACCGCAATTGTCTCAATTCCTGAAAGACATTGTTTGTGTTTCGGAGACGTACCTGATTTCTCAAAATGCTCCTTCCATATCCTGTATCTGTCACCAGGTTTCCATCTTCATTTCTACAGGAAGATGTGCCTGCACCAAAACCTTCGCTTTAGTGTTTTAATCGATGGTAAAACTTCCGAACTTCATTCTGACTCCTGTACATCTCGATTTTACGTTTCTCCTCTCTCCTTTTCTCCCGATAATTCCCCATCGCGTTACGTGTTGCTACCGTCTGCAGGGTTACCCTATACGCTGAGTTTTTCATTACTTGGTGGTGGTTTTTGGTACCCAAAATGATCGGACGCATCTCTTCATCCGGCATTTCAATGCATCATAATCCATTCGTATATGTGGCTGAAGGATAAAAACCGCTCATTGAATGTGTGTGTGCTATTGTGGAAAATTCAATATCAATGTCTGCCATTGAAAAATCATGAATCAATTTTGAGCCATTTTCAAAACCGGTAATTATTTTCTCTTTATTTTTCAATGAATGCAGAGAAATTTCCTCAAACCATAAGAGAAGAAATGCACATACGAATATCACCATCATCATCCACAGCGTCTATAAAAGCAACCGAATGATGACAATATACTTTAGTCTATAATCGTACCTCAAATGGAGCATTTGCCCGCATATCCGAACAACTAAAAAGTGAATAGAAAAAATAACGGTCGTGCAACGTTTGAAAGTGTGTGTGTGCTTTTGTGTGGTCCAAGTGCAAGATAGTGATTTAATTTTGGAGGAGCCCCTCTTATAACCTCTCCATAATAAAATAAGAAAGTTAGGAACAACAACAAGAAGAGTAGTTGTTGTATTGGGCTTCAAGTTAATACGCGAAGTGAACAATTTTTTTATGGGGAAAAAATAAGACTGCAACATCAACAGCAACATGTCGCTCAGTTGTAAGAAAAATGCTGAAAATCTGGATATGACAGTCAAGGTCGATTGTCTTCATTTTCGTTTGTTTTCCGGTAGCCGCAACCATAATCGTCGCCATCATCATGACCATCATTACATTTGTAAAAGTTTCACGAGCCATTATGCCCGACTACCGCCAACCGTTGCTGTTATTAGACGACAACAACTACTACAAAATCGGCCTCATTCGCTGCACAAAAGTGGTTGGTTCAGTTCAATTGCTATTGAACTGTTTCTGGTCGTATTAATTGTAATGGCGGTGATTGTCGGCGGAATAGGTAATTTCTTTCTTTTTGGACACATTCACTCAACTCACAACTTGCTCGATTATGTGATATTATTGGTAGTATATTTAAGTTTGTGTGTGTGAGGGGAGTGCGTTGTGTTTGGGCCAAGTATTACATATTTGAATTATCATTGTTGATTTAAATGAGTTAATTGGAATGCATCATAGGCGTTTTTGTGAGGCATGATTTAACTTGTATTTCCTTGGCATACCGGATTTGCCGGGTTTTTATTTTGGGTTGTTATTGAATACATACCTCTACGTATATGTGCGCTTTTTTTTGGCGTATTGTATACAATCTTCAGCATAAACAAATTTCAAAATACATATCCACGTTTATGGCGGAACTTTAAAACCCATTCTAATCCATATAGTCCACAATATGAATATATTACATTTGTCATTCCGCGTATGTATACAGGGTGAGAAAAAAAACTGCAACAAAGTCAAACGCCATAAATTTTACATTTTTTTTAATATTATTGAATGAAAGCAAAATATTGTCCGAAATAGCATCAAGTTTTAGAATAGGTTTAGATTTGTTCGAATTGGACACCTGTGGCATGAATTATGACCTTCAAACGGCCAATAAAGCCGTCACACGCTGCCCGAATGTTACTCTGCGGTATTTTGGCCCATTCCCGGCGAAGCGCCTACTTGAGGTGATCGACACTTTGTTTTTTTTTTGTGCCAACCTTGCTTTCCCACATACCCCAGACACAAAAGTCCAACGGATTGGTATCCGAGAGACTTTTATGGCCATTTAATGCTAGAAATGAAGCGAGGAACCTCATTTTGTAACCATTCTTGCGTGGCGCGTGATGTTCCTGAGTCCTGTTGGAATGTCCAAGATATGCGGCCAATATTTTTGTGTGCCCGAAGCTTTAATACACCCTCCAGAATATTGTTCACGATAATATTCGGCATTATTCTGATGCCAAGGTCGATTTATACAAGCGGAGAGCAACCATTGGTTATTATGGCGGCCCACATCATTACCATGGCTGACGCTTGAGTTCTGGTGGCCAACTGAAGGTGCATATTTACATTTGACCTCTTTGGCAAGTAAACACGATCATTTTGTTTGTTTACAAACTGGTGGACAACGAATGTTTTATCATCGGAGAAAACTTGAAATTCGGTAGTTCACCACTTTCGGCCAAGCGAAGCAACTGTAAAATGTGAGATATTGAAACCAATCTTATTGTTCGACTGTAGTTTCAATTCTCTTTTTAAGTATGTTATAATGGTTCTTTCTTCGAAGTACCAGATTTTATTGTAATCCGGTTCGAAGGACCAACTGAAAAATGAGATATTAAAACCTTATTGTTCGATCGGAGTTTCAATTCTAATTTATTTATGAAATATTCTGACTTAAGATCTACATAAACTAATCTAACTTAGACTAATCTTAAATAAATAGAGAAGATGCCGAACATGTTCATATTTTTATGATCAGCAACTCTTTAGCTCTTTTAAGTCCAGTTTTCTTTCTGTTGCGGTGGATGTTATTGCTCTTTTGGGAATTTCAATGGCTTTACCCCTAGCTCATTTTTGTCGAATGGAATATTGTGATATGTTCAGCTCACGAGCCAATTTTTTGGCCACTGCGACGCGGGAGGAGGAGCTGATAGAAAACACTATAATCTACATTTTTAGGGGTTGTCTACTTCTATCGTACATACCTAGTCTATGAAAAGAGGTAACAGTGACCTTCATCCCGAAAGCCGAGTCATACCCTACCAAAGGCCTATAGACCGATTAGCCTCGCTTCCTTTCTACTCAAGACTTTAGAAAGGTTACTAGACTCAGAAATTAGAAATACTATTGATCTAAGCAAAATTAGCAACTCACAGCATGTCTACGTCAAAGGCAAATCAGTGGATATGGCCTTGCATGAGGTGGTTGGACGCATTGAGAAGAATATGGAGCCCTCTGGCTACATCATGGCAGCGTTCCTCGATATTGAGGAAGCTTTCAACAATGTGACGCTAGAGGCCAAGCATTCACACCACTTCTAAAGGACTGGATTGGTAGAATGGTGGAAAGCAGAATTATCAACTCATCCTTAGGAGAGAGTTCCGTGAAGAAATCTGTCAACAGAGGCACACCACAGGGGGAGTAATATCTCTCCTTCTGTGGCTTCTGGATGAAATACTGCTAAAATTCGATAGTATTGCTGGTTGGTGGGAAATTTCTAATGACTCTTTCAAATATTATGGATGGCGCCCTTTCAACTCTGTCCAACTGGGCACACGCCAAGAGTCTTGGTGTAAACCCCACAAAGCCAGAATTGGTGCTCTTCACTAGAAAACGTAATATTCCTAGTTTCGCTTGCATTCTTTGGGAGGTGTGACCCTATCCATTTCTGAAGAAGCAAAAAACTTTGGTACAATACTTGACCGGGAATTGGAATGTGGAGAAACGCTCTAAATGGAGTGATAGCAGTCTACACCACTGGTAGTCTTGAATGCGATCTTGAATGTCCAACCACTGAACACTCTGATTGAATTCCAAGCTGCCAGACGAGAAACGGATGCCTGGAAATCGCTGAACTATGGTCACGCTAGTATCCTCAACATAACGTCAGGTTGTGATTTCTTGAGAAATCAGAGTAGATTTTCCTAGTAGGAAATCCTAGACTAGTGGCTCCTTACATCTGCCAGGTCTGTCACTGGTGCAGACGTTTACTGTAAAATATAAAACTCATATAAACTTAACAATCTTTGTAGAGTTTTTCAAGCAGAAATCCTCGCAATCATGAAAGCGGCCGAGATAGTCAAAACACTTACTGCCGATAATACGGGACCGATGACTATATATGTCGATAGTCAGGCGGCCCTCAAGGCTTTGAAGTCGTGCACTATAAACTCAAAAGCAGAACTTATTCGCTGTTGTCGCATAATAAGAGATCAAAATCATTGTGGGGATCATAACAGGTCACTGCAAGATTACATTCCTTACTTCGAAATCGGACTCCAGCGGAGAGGATTACTGTCGTCTAAGTGATGACGAAGAAGAGCTAGAAACAATTAATCATATGTTCTTTAGATGACCATCGCTTAGTGTCAGAAGACACAAACAGTTTGAAAGATATGAAATTGATAATCTAGCTTTCTTCTCCTAGGCTTTGTCAAAAATCTGGCATGGCTAAAATGATAAAAAAAGACATTTTACTGAATATATTTCAATGGAGGGTCTTCATTCAGCCGATTCTGTTTAGGTTCCATATTTTACACCGTTAAACCAATATATACTCTTTTATTATTTTCACCTGTAATTAAAATTAAAACTTGCCTAATTAAACTCTCACACACACATGATTGGAAGTTGGCATGATGCTGTCACTGGCAGCATTCATTGGATGCAGTCCATATGTATGCTGGCAGGCAGGCAGGCAGGCAGACTTGTTTTAATCTATTGTTGCACGAACCATAAAGAAATCTGTTAATTGTAATTTTTGGTTACTTCATTCAACATCAATGTTTTTTCTTGTACGGTAGTGTTTGTTTATTGCAGTAAATAAAAAAAAATGATGTAAACGTTTTTGTTGATCATTGCATGATTTTTTTTTTTGTTTTTTTAACATGTCACTGCTTTAATTGGTCTCCGAATGAAACCATTGACAAATTGGTTATATTTGTTAAAAATTATTCTGGAAAAATGGGGAATGTTGAAAACAAGTGGATTTCTTCCATCTGTGTCAGGATGAAAAGGAATAGTTAGAAACGTTCGAATATCTACTTTGCAGATCTCAAATGCTCCGCAGCAAGATACATATGCCACTCGATCGACAGCTGTTAAAATTATACCAGTGACAGCATATAACATTTTTACAAGCGTACCAAAGCATTTTGGTGAGAATTTTCCAGAAAAAAATATATTTGGCGCTGGAAAACCACAAGTGGCGCGACGTCAAGGAAGTGGGCGGAAGAAAATAGCAACATCAGCAGAAATGGTTCGAAAAGTAAAGAAGCGACTTGATCGAAACCCACGTCGCAGTGTCCAAAAAAATGGCTCGTGAGCTAAACATATCGCAATATTTCATTCGGCAAATATTGAAAAATGAACTCGGGGTGAAGCCATTGAAATTCCAAAAAGTGCAAGAACTTACACCGCACACACAGAAAGAAAATAGATTCAAAGAGCTAAAGAGCTGCTGTTCATAAAAATATGAACATGCTCGGCAACATTTTGTATTTATTTATAATCACTTCACATTTTTGCATTTCATAAATGATGTTTAAGGGGTTTTATGATAAGTGCTTAATTCAGTCATAAGATCTATGTGTGTGTCCTCACTGATAATAAAGAATTAATAGAAGTCCACGTACAAAGATATTGGTGATATGTGTATACGATTAGGCTAAGTTAGATTAGTTTATGTAGTTCTTAAGTCAGAATATTTCATAAATAAATTAGAATTGAAACTACAATAGAACAATAAGGTTGGTTTCAATATCCCACGTTTTACAGTTATTTCGCTTGGCGGAAAGTGGTAAACGCCCGAATTTCGAGTTTTCTCCCATGAAAAAGCATTCGTTGTCCAGCAGTTTGTAAATAAACAAAATGATCGTGTTTACTTGCCAAAGAGGTCAGCTGAAAATGTGCACCTTCGGTTGGCCACCAGAACTCAAGCGCCGGCCATGGTGATGGTGTGGCCGCCATAACAGCGGATGGTCGCTCTCTGCACGTATTACTCGACCTTGGCATCAGAATAAATGCCCACAATTATCGCGAAAATATTCTGTAGGGTGTGTTAAAGCCTTGGGCAAGTAAACATTTTGATCGCAGAACTTGGACATTCAAACAAGATTTAGAACGCGCTTCGAAAGAATGGTTACACGCTTCATTTCCAAGGTGACCAATTCGGTTGGCCAACAAATCTAAGCTGGCCATTGATGGTGTGGCCACCATAACTAAAATTTGATGCTATTTCCGACATTTATTGCTTTCATTCAATAAAATTTAAAAAAGAAAATGTAAAAATTATAGCTTTTGACGTTTTTGCAGTTTTTTTTAACTTACCCTGTACAATAATTATTTGATACTCTGACCTTCTTCTCCGAAATAGATTCCACCTAAATTTATAGTTTGGCCAAGAATATCTCTTGGCAAAAATATAACATATACATTTTTATTCTATATCAATTCCCTATTTTCTTCTTAAGGTACTCCGGATAAACAAAATGGACCGATTGAAAACATCCTACCTCCGATTGAAAACCTCCTACTAAATAAGAATAATGTATAATAATTTCCCTATAACTTCAATAGGGTTCGTCCTTGATACGTTCTCTATTATATGATTTGTCTAAGACCTTAGAATGTCCAATGCTTCAGGTTCGCCAAATAACTATCTCTCTGATCCTTCTTGCACTATATTCGCCTTGAATTTAAGTCTCCTAGTTCTCAATATTTTTAAATTCGAAAATCTAACAAAACCACATTTCCTCGCCCATATCACTTTCAGATGCCCGAAATGTTACACAACGTAGTCTTGAGAATAAAGTCGAGTGTCTCGAAGATATCGTGCGATTTTATCGGGATCCCAACAGGCCGGTGCACAAGATATGGACGAGTTCAGAATGCTCAAAATACTATTTGTGTCTGGAAGGTGAAGTATTCAATTTCAAATGTTCCGAGGGTCTGCTATTCGATGTGGTACGGCAGATATGTGATTTTAAACAAAATGTGGATAATTGTGATATAACAGCAGGTGGGTATTATAACCGTTTTATCTATTCAATTAAAATAATAAATTCCCTTTAGAAACTCCCGTACCAAAACCCCTGCTTGATGAAGCTGATTGCCCGGAAAATGAATGGGCTTGTGGTGATGGTACATGCCTGCCGTCGGAATATTTTTGTGATGGTTCTGTTGATTGTCCCGATGACTCGGATGAGGGTTGGTGTGATGCTGATAATGATCCAAATGCTGCCGAAACATGTGATCCAAAAAATTGCCACTTACCCGATTGTCATTGTTCGAAGGATGGTACCATAATACCCGGGCGGTTGGAAGCACACATGGTGCCACAAATGATATTGCTGACATTTGATGATGCAGTGAATTTTGAAAATTGGGAACTCTTTTCGAAAGTGTTATTCAAGGGACAGCGGCGCAATCCCAATGGATGTCCCATTCGGGCCACCTTCTTCGTCTCACATCCGTTTACAAATTATCAATATATACAGAAGTTGTGGAATGATGGTCACGAAATTGCCGTACATTCGGTGACGTAAGTAGTAGGGGGAATTATATAGAATTTAATTATGTAATAAAACATTCATATTTTTCTTACAGGCACCGTGGACCGGAAATGTTTTGGTCCCATAATGCCACCATAGAAGATTGGTTCGATGAAATGGTGGGACAGGCGAATATATTAAACCGTTTTGCCAGTGTACGCATGGAAGAGATACGCGGTATGCGTGTTCCATTTCTACGTGTCGGCTGGAATCGACAATTCCTAATGATGAAAGAATTTGGATTCGTTTATGATTCATCAATGGTGGCACCATTCTCGAATCCTCCCCTATGGCCATATACAATGGACTATAAAATGCCCCACAATTGTATTGGCAATAAACAGAATTGTCCATCGCGTAGCTATCCTGGCATTTGGGAAATGGTCATCAATCAGTTGGAAGTTGGTGAATACACTTGCACAATGGTGGATAGCTGTCCGCCACATTTATCGGGCGAAGATATATATCGTATGTTGACGCATAATTTCAAACGACATTATCTATCGAATCGTGCACCGTTGGGACTGTATTTTCATGCCAATTGGTTTAAGAAGGCGGAATACTTGAATGCATTTTTGGTGAGTTGTGTGAAATAGGGAGATCGAGAAGCCTTAAAAAATACGAGCATTTAATGCAAAGGCTAGCTTTTTTGGTAGAAGATTGGATTTCTATGGAAAGTAGGCTGAACTTTTATAAATAGAAGCTGGATTTCTATGGAAAGGAATCTGTATTTTTATAGATAGAAGGTTGTCTGCCATTTTTTTATTAATAGTCATTTTATAATATTAAATGAATGATAATATTTTCGATAAACATTTTGTGGAAAAATACTATTGGAGAGTCGAATTCCAAAAAAGGGGATTTCTTCACATACACGGCATGTACTGGCTTAAGGACGCTCTTAAAATAAACATTAATAATTCGTCTTCTTTTATTTCTGTCGTTAGTTTTATAGATAAATATGTTTCTACTAATGTCACAACCACAATTGTTGTTGTGCTGGAGAATATGGTGGCGAGAAGATTTGTCGGTATGGTATGCCATTTCCATAGCTGTCAGAAACAAAAAAAAAAATATTGTCACTTCCTGAAAACTGTTAAAATATTCAGGAATTAAAAGATTGGTATGATGGGATTCAAGACATGTCAAATAGTTTTAGCTCCCATATATAGTTTCGTCCGATTTTTTGTAAATGATGCACCAAACTCCCAATATTGGTCCGCTTGAGATGAAATTAAGCACAGAGTACTGAATTCGGTCCAGATTGATATATACCAATTTTTGTTTAAATCGGTTCAGATTAAGATATAGCTCCTATATATAGTTTTGTCCGATTTTATGTAAATGGATCACCATACTGCTAATATTGATCCGATTGAGACAAAATTTTACTGTACTGAATTAGACCTATATTGATATATGCCAAGTTTTGTTGAAATCGGTTCCGATTTAGCTCCCATATATAGATTCGTCCGACCAATATAGGCGGAGCTTTTTTTATGAATATTTAGCAAGAAAAGACCGATTTTTTTTAACAATATCTTAGAAGGAGATTTCTTAATTAACGGACTTTTGAATAATACTTTTTGGAGAGAGAATCCGCTTCTGTCAATTCAATTTATTTAACTTAATAATAGTCAGGCGGCCCTTAAGGTTAACAAGAAACGGACGGTTTTCCTCTGGAAGAAACGAAATTCCAAATATTCAACCACGATCTTACAAATACTTTAAATTAAAGGGACTTTTATATGGGACGCCTATGTCAAAATACAAACTTTCATTTAAAATTTTCTCTGAAGAAGTTTTTCCCCGTCTCACGAACCTGTAATGCTAAATTACAGCCATGTCGAGTCCTTTATATCGGGCTATGTCAAAATATTGAACATTTTATTTATCCTCCAAAAACCCGGAATACGAAATTACTACCACTTCGTTTGGAAAATGGCTCTGGGATTAAGCGAATATCTAAAATGAAACAGAAGTTTTATATACAAAATATGGACCCACATTGAAAAATGTCTCCTAATATGTTATTCAAAATTCAATTCTTTAATGTGAAATTACAGCCCCTTTGGCTTTACAAAAAATTATTTCAATATGTGCCGGGAAAGGAATAGCGTCAGATACCATTTTCTAATACCAAACAACCTAGGAGTATAGTAGCAATCTTTCTGAAAAAAATTAAATCTCCACAAAAAAAGTTTCCTAACCATTTTTCTCAATAAACCTCTATTCTCTCCTTTTCTTTTCCAGAAATTTTTAGATGATTTACAAAAATTACCCGATGTTTATTTTGTGACCAATCAACAAGCCATACAATGGATGCGTACACCGATCCGCACAAATATGTTACATCAATTCGAGCCATGGTCGTGTAAACCGAAACACTTAGATCTCAACGAAAAAGTTTGCAATATACCAAATACGTGTAAACTTCGGAGTAGGGTATTGCAACAGGATCGTTATTTATACACATGTAAAGAGTGTCCGCCACAATATCCCTGGATACGTAATGAATTTGGTTTAGATTAAAAATGTACCCCTTTCAAAATAATGCTATATTTTTAATGCCTTTCATTTTGTACTTAATCATAGTTTGTAAGAAAGTTTATTATTTTTATTTTTTTAGTACATTATCGTTAAGAAATAATAATTATTTATTAACAAAAACTTATTCATATTTTAATTTCCACTTTTGTTATATAAAAAAAACTATTTTAAAATCCAAAATATTTTTTTTTTCTGAAGAAAAGCCTAACACAATTATTGTGTTATAAATGGATTGGGTATAGCCTCAACACCATCTTGCGGACATATCAACACCAAGGCTGTACCACGACAAACCACCAGCCCTAGATTTCTTGTCTCTTCGGAGGGTTTAAAGGGTTCATCGGGATCGCGCAGGTATTCAATTGTGTTATCCAGCACCAGGTTAAGCAGAGCATCATAACCTTTCAGAATACCCGATGCTTCGCGGCCACCGGCAAATTTCACACGTATTTGTTTCTCGAGGTATTTGGATAAGTCTAAAATTGATTCTTTGCGGCGTTTCTCTTTGCCATCATTACTCTGAGGGAAATAAGTGGTTATAAATTACTTCCTTGTGAAACATATAAATTCCGAAGACTTACCTTATTTTTATCAGCCATTATTTGTTGTATCGTAGTCTTATATTTGCTATTTACAGAATAAATAAAATATAAATAAATATTGGGCCGAAAACGTTTTGTTTATGGGGGATGAAAAGAACAGAGTCGCGAAGTTGTGCGACGGTTTTACGGCGGCAGTACGTACACTAACATCATTCACAATAGTAAAACTAAAGAAAAAACTATGTTTATTAGAATTTTGAAAAAAATATAAAATAATAATCCTATTGGTATAATAAATCCTATTGGTATTTTCAAAAAAATAATCGATATTTTTCAATGAAAAATTTATAAAAAAAATCACGCTTATTCATTAAGAAGTCGCAGTTATTAAAACACAATGTCCTTAGCTATTGTGATTGATAATTGACGCCGATGCTTTGAAATAGGTGCCCTACTACAGCCATTAAACATATGTTCGATCTACTACGTTTTTAATCAACCATAGCCAACAAAGTGTTGTGTCGTTGGGAAGGCACTTGCAATTTTTTCCAAAAAGAAATCTTAAAATTTCCAATTTGAAGGTGAATATTTAATAAATTCAATTGAAAAAATCACAAACAATTTACAAATATAATCAAAGCTACAAAGTGATACTTAACAAAATTTGCTCAAACAATGGAACTATAAGCAAATCAATGTTACGTCACATTCTTTGGAATACCGTTCGCTTCCACAAATACATCATACATAGCTCTATCAGCTGTTTATAACAAAATAAATTCCAATTTTTTTCTATTTATTAATAATTTGTGTTTTCCATTTTCTAGAGTTCATCATGCCCATCACTCCATATTTGCAAACTCCCTTCACCGATTTGACCGGCAGTTTGATTAACCATCAAACCTACGATAAATGCGGTGTAATGGAAATGAACATGATGGACTGTTTGGAAGCCTACGGTGCCGAACGGGGCAAGAAAATGTGCAAGGATTTAATTGATGATTACAATGAATGCTTCACCATGCACAAACAAATGTTGCGCTTCCATGTAAGTAGAAATATAATATAAAAAAAATATTTATATGTTTATGTTTGTTTACCTTGTTTTCTAGGCTATGCGTAAGGAACGCTTGAGGCAAGGTACATTTGCTGATCCACCAAGAGTTGATGCCTATTAGATTTATGTTTTCTGTGGATCCAGTAACATTTGTAAATTATAGTTTAAAATCTTTAATAATTGAAAATGGAAATATAAATTGGAAAAAGTGAAATTTTGAAATCTATTCTGCCGAGAGCATAAATGGGAGATTATTAGAAGTGCATGTTCTTGTTTGTTGATATGGTTCAAAAATTGATTTGAAAATAGTATATTCGATGACAAAAAAACACGTTTTTATGTTTATAATTTCAGAGGTAGTAAAAAATAATATTAAACAAGAAATGGGTGGTACCGTTTTATTGAGTCGGTATGACCTCTCTAATGTGGAGCAAAATTCTTTGCTCCACATTTTCAATGGGGGCAATAAAGAATTTTTTGGTTCTCCGTTCAATGCCGCCAAAACACCAAAGGGAGTCTTTATTATAAAGTATTTTTAAATATGAAAGAGAATCAAGTTGAAGGAAGCAAAGGGAGTCCAATATCGTCTGATGGGAATCTTTAAAAAGACATAGAAGAAGATAGTCTTTATAGACGAGCCGAAGAGAGTATTTATAGACGAGCTGAAGGGAGTCTTTACGGACGAGCTGAATGGAGTATTTATAGACGAGCTGAAGGGAGTCTTTATAGACGAGCTGAAGGAATTCTTTATAGACGATCTGAAGGGAGTCTTTATAGACGAGCTGAAGAGAGTCTTTATAGACGAGCTGAAGAGAGTCTTTATAGACGAGCTGAAGAGAGTCTTTATAGACGAGCTGAAGAGAGTCTTTATAGACGAGCTGAAGAGAGTCTTTATAGACGAGCTGAAGAGAGTCTTTATAGACGAGCTAGATTCCTGCAGTTCGGGAATATACATTAATGGTCTGTTTTTGTGCTGCAAGAATGTACTAATTTTTACAATAATTGTCGATATCATAAAGGAAAACTTGTTATCGTAGTTAAAAATTTTACATTATTCTGGAACAGACCATATATTCAGAAGTCGATTTTTAAACAAACTCTTTAGACGCCGATTTTTAAACAATGACTTTAGGAGCAATTTTCAAATGGATTTTAAAAGTCCATAGAAAGTGATGTGAGTGAGGCTTTGAGGTCGACCATGGCATAGCCTCTTACCATGGTAAGGACTTGGCAACAAAGTCTCAAACACTTGTTGAGGATATAAGAGAGGGGCGCCATTCTCGCCGGCTCAGGGATCATAGGCACTCGGTCATTTCCTCCGAGACTCTCCCCCTGAGCCCGCTGATTGTCCGCGACTGTTCATTGGTTATTCACAGTTACCCAACGAATGGTGTTGGGCTTCCCATTATTCGCAACCTGTGGACGCGCCCGTTAGCATTCAGCTCTGCTCCCCGCGTGAACCGACTTAGATCAATTCATAAACATGTCATTCTGTCATTCCTATACTAAACTCTTCATTTGGATATATAGAGCATAAGACCAAATTACGTAAATCGATTAAAGCAAATCTCAATCGGACACTCGCTGATTATTTGAAACCCAATAAACGTGAAGTCTGTCGAATATATGGGCTTTGCCTGCATTTATACAAAAATCAGTTACGTCATTATTTACTCCATTTGGTACGTTGTGCAAAATTTCGCGTCAATCTGACAAAAATGAGGAGTTTATGACCCATTTAATTAAAATCGGACGAAAAAATTTATGCAAGCTATATCTAGACCGATTTCAACGAAGTTTGTCTCAGGTTAGGCTATACTATTTTCAGTAGTTTTATGCCTAGCGGTCATATTTTTGGTACATGGTGCATCACTTACTTAAAATCGGAGAAAATATATAGGAGCTATTTCCAAATCTGAACAATTTTTACGAAAACTAACACACATCATTTCAGACCCAATTCAGTACGCTGTGCCAAATTTCGTGCAAATCTAAAGACATATAGGGACTTTGGTGCACCATTTACATAAATTTGGACGAAAATGTATATGGGAGCTATATCTAAATCGGAACCGATTTTCACGAAAATTAATACACATCATTGTAGACCCATTTCAATACGCTGTGCCAAATTTCATGCAAATCGAAAGATATATAAGTACTTTGGTGCACCATTTACATCAAATCGGACGAAAATATTTATGGGAGCTGAACCGATTTCCCCCAATAAATGAGCTGTACCAAATTTCATCCAAATCGGATTATAAATGCGACATGTACATTGTTTACAACTTAACATCAACAGACAGACATGCATAGATCAAAAACGTAAAAAGAGTTTTATTTTCTGACGGAAAAAATAAAACTACTGAGACGATTTGTATTTTTGACGGAAAAAATAAATAATTAAAATGGATTTTTTATTTAGGCCACAAATAACTGTTATTTTATAACTGATTTGATATTACTTATAACCGTTACTGTCCCTGATTACGACTAATAATTTTGTAGTGGTTAGCGCATGTGTTATCATATTACAGTGAATAACCTCGCTGAAATTTTGAGTTCAAACGCTCATATCAGAGAATCCCTTCAATTGAACCGTTAACTGTCTCCCTTCCATGTCTCCCTTTCTCCCTTCCATGTCTCCCTTTCTCAACAATCGGTTCACTCAAGCGATGTTGTCCAAGTGATGTTTATGACAGTGGTGCTCAGCAAATGCCAATGCAAGTTTATGAGCATCACTGCTTTATGAGACATTTTTTCTCTCTGCTCCTTGATTTTAAGCAAGTGGAACGTTTTTAATTTTGGTCGGTGCAAAGCACAAGACGAACAGAATGAAATCAAATAGTACTACTATCAACCAACCAACCAGAAAGTGAAAAATGTGTGGGAATAAAATACGGAAATAAGAAAGAATTCAAGCCGGCAAAATACAAAACTAAATGTGAATAAATCAAAAATAGATCTGTCTGTTGTTATCAAACAAGAGGAAAGTGATTTTGGCGTCTCGACGAAATAAAACGTTGTGAAATTCTCAACAAGTGAGACTGACTGCGGCGGCTGCTGCTGGCAAAGAAGACACCAAAACGAAAAAACGGCACGAAAAAGTTATCAAACCCTTAAAACCCATATCATCAAGGCAATGCAAAATCAAATCTTCATCATCAAGATTGAATGAAAATTATACGATTATACAATTATTGTGATTCCGCCGCGCAAGAGTTTTAAAAAAAGGTGATTATTTTTGTTGTTGTTATATTGAATTTATTAAATGTGTTTTCTTTTTTTAATTCTGTATGAGAAATTATTTGCATGTTGGAAGAAATGAAAAAAAAAATGATGAGTGAAAAAAAATTCTGAATTGTAAACCACCCCACCCCACATTTGCTGTGTTTTGCGCTGTGCTCCTGATGTGTAGTTTTATGTAGAGTAATAGACCAGCACCACACATTGTGAAAAAACCGCCACCACCACCGTCGACCGACTAACCAACCAACCGCCCGACCTTCACGCAACCTTCATTGCCCATCGTAAACAACATCACTGTAGATAACAAAAAATGGGGCCTATCTTATCCGGTCAGTGTGGACAAATGTTGTGTTCTTCACGTGCATGTTGCAACTTGCTTCACGTCGGGTGAAACAATTTTGAATGTGAGGAAGAGCGGTTGGTCTTATCCATTTTCTTCCATTTGAAGTACCTCCAAGTAAAACTTTGATCATGATGATGAGGCACTTTGACAGTAATTTCAATGATTTACCCTCGCATTTTTTTTTAGTTTTGGTTTTGTGGCTGGCTGCTAAGTAACAAGAAATAAACAAATTAATTGTTGTTGTTGCAGTTAGAATCAACTGTATAGGAAGAAAATAAACAAAAATTGTAAGCACCCACCAAAAAATCGTCAGTTTATACGCGTCTTTAGGCGAATTCACAACAACCTATTCGGGAATCAATCCATCAGTCAATCAATCCTTGTCGGGAAGTTAAATGATATATTTGTTTCGTTATCATTATTGTGAAATACGTTTCGGTGTTTCGTTTTGTGCGTCCGTGCGTGTGTGAGATCCCATTCCATTTGCATAAACTCTACCTACCAAAAAATCGTCAGTTTATACGCGTCTTTGTTTATCATCAGTCAATTCCGGGGAAGTTAAATGATATATTTGTTTCGTTATCATTATTGTGAAATACGTTTCGGTGTTTCGTTTTGTGCGTCCGTGCGTGTGTGAGATCCCATTCCATTTGCATAAACTCTACCTACCACAGGTCTTGTTTATCTTTCCCCGTGTGATGTTAGTAACGAGATTTGGACAAATTTTTTTGTTTACTTGTTGGAAATTTGTTGTTCTTTTGAAATACTATTTTTTTTTTCATCGATCCAATGTTTGACTTTCTTCAACATTTAAGTTCAACATGACAAATTTGTTTTTCTTTTATTTTCATGTTTGCAATAACTTTAACTGACATTTCATTCCATGGTGTATTTAATAAGGTGTAAGTGACAATCATATGGGTTTAAACTTTTTTCTTTATTGTTAGTAAAGTAAATTGTCAAAAATATTTGTCAACGTTTCAATTCGATTTAAAAAAAATATTGTCTTTTGTTGTTTCATTCATTATTTTTGACTTCCATCGAATTGTGTTTTTTTAGTCTGCGTAGAAATTGTGAGACAATTAAGTCATGGGGACATGCATAGTTTTAAGGGACCTGATTTAAACGGTGTCATCCGGGGATATATGATTCCAATGTTCTGCAGAAACGCTTGTATTTTCCCATGCCATTTGAAATTCAGTACCTATGCACCAATAGTAGGTATCGATTTTGGAGCGAATGTAGTCCTTATTGCAAAAAATGTAACCATAGTTGAAATCGTTTATAACCAATAAGGAAAGTAGTAAAGTCGGACGGGGCCGACTATATGATACCCTTTACCACTTTGGCTATATTTCTATATGTGAACCGACTTAACCCTACGGTTCATAACCGGGTACATTTGTACCCCCATAATATGGAGGGTATATTAATTTAGTGTTTCTGTTTATAACTCAACGAAATAGTCATTTTCGACAGATCAAGTTCGAAGATGGGCTATATCGGTCCAATTTTCGGTATTTTGGGGTTCTTGAG